ATGGCAATTACATGTAAATAAAGCCAAGTAGAATGTACAAAATCGTCCAAAAATGAAGCCTAATGGCACATTATTATTTTTCATAAATGTAGCCACTATAGTATAAAGTACTTTGAAATTTCTAAACACCATTTGTAAAACTATCAAGGGTTCAAAAGCGACTATTCGGAGTGTAGAAGTGTAGAGCCAACTCTTTTCATCATCCACAATAGGTCAATAGGTGCTCAAATAAGGGCATGTTCGTTTCAAATGCGAGTTTAGTTATAATTCAAAAGATTGCTAATTTTGACATATAATAAGGGAAATTAAGGCGAAGGATATATCCGATGAAATCGAATTCTCATGAATGTTATTGCAAAAGACTTACTTCTTCAATTGAATAAAAACAACTCTATGTCTTCCACAAAAAGTAAGATTAAATAAAAGCATATAGTAAAGATATAATCAATCTTCGATGTATACATATAAATAAAATTGACATACAATTATAATGACTCTAATACAAATATAATCAATCTTTAATCCATGTAGTCATCACAGTGAAATATAGTCACCTTTTTATTTACATGTTTACGATTTGATCTGATTTGATTGTAATGACATAGTCACTCAATTACACCGTAATACGTATAGTCACTCTTCAATAAATCAATACATGTACTCTCTAATACATAATCAATATAATCATAAAGTCACTCTTTAGTCTAATAAAATTCAAGCACATATAAATTCACAGTTTTACTCTTTAATACAAACTCACAACCTCCTAATTAAAATCATAGTCTCTGTGATAGGATAATATAATCACATTTTGATGCATATAGTCACACTAATCACCACTAATGCTTATCATGCCAACCAAATTGGCATTTCAACCATTGCCAACCACCACACTTTAACACCGCTTGTTGCATCACGCAGCCACTACTGCCACATTCATCAAACCCTCTTTAAATTTTTCAATCAACCCTAACCCCACCACTAATAACAAGAAAATCCACAAAATAACAAACACCCAGTTTGAATTTGGACTTTGATTTCTCTTCGTTAATGTAAACATGAAGAAAAAGTAATGTTAGGGGAAAGGAGTGATGAAATTAAGGGTGAAACGAGACAATGATGATACCTAGATTGTCCCAAGTGCAGAACTTGAGAGAAATAAATGAAAAATGGTGTGAATTAGGTGAATGAAAATGTTCTCCCCTAAAGAGAACCGGAGAGAGAGTTGTTTTTGAGATCACGAAGGGCCGAAAAATTAGCAAAAGCGATCCACTACCGTGAAAATAAAACAAAATGTGTTTAGAAAGGAATATCTTCCTTACTCAAGCCTGGTGATAGTGTAAACCCAGTGTATTTTAGTGTTTACCCTATAAGATTGGCCAAATCAACCAACACTGAAGTACTGAACACTCGTGATTCATATAAACAAAAAGTTCAAACAGGAATAATACTTGGAACCAATTATTACTATACCAAATAAAAAAGCTACTACATGGCCACACAATGCACAATAACTTACATCATATCTTTCTGATCATAATTCAAATAAGCATCTGGCTTCTACCTCTCCTAAGTTCGGAAGCTAATCACTCAAAGAGCATGTTTGATGAAAGTATTGTTTTCTCAAGTCACGGATTCAATAAACTATAACCATTATTGAGTGTTTGGTTAGGGGTTCGTTCCCTTACTAGGGGGTGATCGTTTCCACCTAATTGTTACCACTCTACAATCTATCCTCAAAAACACAAATTAAGTGATTCATTTCCATTATTAGACCAAACAAGTGGAAAGGTAAGAGTTTAGTGATTCATTAGCCCCCTGCCATTTGTTTTTTTTCCATTCAGTTTCCAATGTTGGCACCAAATACGCCACAAAGAACCTTACTAAATATTACATATAAAAACCAATTACTCAAATCAATAGCCAATTGAATCAACAACCAAAATTTCAAAAATAAGCAAGCATCAACAATATAATAGATATAAAAATTAATCAACAACCTCAAATAAACCACAATTTCAAATATAAAACACACAGTAATTGTAACATTAATCACATGATCTTAAGAAACCTTCAATTGTATTATTACAACCAAAATATGTTGGCATCCACCATCACTCTTTTCAACATGATCACCAACAAAAACAATACCATTATTACCTCTTAAGCTCATTCCGCCGTCTGGAGGCTACCGGTCGCCTTCCCCGCCTCTCCACTACGGCCACCACCACCACCACCACCAGAGCAGCATTCCCCACCATGATGATGATGCCCATGACCATGCCCGTGACCGTGCCCGTGCCCGTGTCCTGATCTCGCCTTCAATTGCTTCCTCATATCATAAGCATCCTCCCCATCAGCATAATACTTAGCCTCAATATCATGAATCTTGTAACCCAAAGTTTCAGTATACAACCTAAAAGCAGCACGATTACTCTTCCTAACATGAAGAGAAACATACTCAGAACCATAAACATGTTCCATAGCAGCTTGAGCAGCCGACATTAGCTTCGTCGCTAACCCTAATTTGCGATGGGTTCGAAGAACAGCAAGAGAAGTGATATGTCCATGGCATTCCGAGCTTTCTTCCTCCATTTTCGCTAACACATAACCGACGATTTTGCCGTTGTAATCTTCAGCAACATACAGAAGTTGCGGCCATGAAAGGATGTGGTAGAGGTAGTATTTCATCTGGTAGTTTTCTGGTAAACAGAGGAGATTGCAAGCTTGCATCTGGAGAAGATCGTCGACTGTTGCTTTCCTAATGCACACCATTTTTGGATTCTTGATTGGGAGATTTGGGTGAGAATTGAAGTTCTAGGGTTAGGGTTTTGTGAAATTGGGGAGAATTTGGGGGAAGGAGCTTGAATTGAAGATGAGTGAGACTGTGAGAGTGTTGTTGTAGGAGCGTTATATTGGTTGGAGTGGGCTTTCTTGTTTGGGCTGAAAAACAGAAGAATATATTCTTACCCATTTTTAAAATTTTTAATTTTTTATTTGTATTAAATACCACTCCCTTATTAACAGGTAACGCTCTGATTTTAATTTCAATGGATTTATTTACCCATCTTATAAAATATATCAATCTCCTTTATCTTTCACTTTTTACTCCACTATTCCATCACTTTTCTGATAAAAACTTAACATTCACACACTTTTCTCTTCTAAAACCAATAAAATTCAGACCTGGAAAACATCCACACACAAATTGATCTACACTAACAACCACCAAGACGAGGTACTATGTTTGGTCGAAATGGGAAAGGGAATAATAATAATAATAATAACTCGATCTACACTTCTACCTGGTTGTGAGTGGTCCCAATATCATGTTTGAGTCAGGCTATGAATGGTAAGACTTACCGTTGTGTTCTTTGCTACCAGTTGGGTGAACCTTTGTTCTTCATTTCGACACCGTATTCTGCTTGCTCAAGGGTTTTTGATGGGGATATTTATGGGGATCATGCAGTGTCTTGTACTGGGATGGTGGGTATTAAACATTGGCATAACGTTGTTCGTGATACCCTTGTTGATATTTGTTTTCGGTTTGGGATTTCCGCTAGAAAGGAGGTTGACGTTGAGTTGACCGGAGGGAACGACGGGGCTCTTCGACCAGCCGATGTGTTGCTTTATTCCTAGGACAGAGGACTTGATGTATATGTTGACTTGACGAGGTCTTCTCTTTAAAACAATCTGGGTTGTCTGACTTCATTCCTGGTCGTGTTGTGTTGGTTGCGGCTCAGCGGAAGCGGGATAAGTATAGGGCGTTGCAGGGCTATTGGCTATGGTTTTCTCCCTTTCTCCTTTTCTTCATCGAGGGGAATTAGAGAAAGATATTGTTGCGTTGCTAAAGTGGGTTCAGGCGTTCGCTAGGACTCAGAATATTGGTGTTCGTGCAGCTGCTCACATCTTCAACAGGATCGGGTTTCCTATAACTAGAGGGGTGGGGGCCCCGATTGTATTTCGGCTCTCCACTAATTTCTTGTAAATCAATTGACTTTGTAGGTTTTTGTTATTAATAATAATAGGAAAACATAAATTCACTAAAAAAAAAGGAGAAATGCCTGGAAATTTTGAAACTCCAATGGGGAAACGCCTAGAATTTCCGGATTCCCTTGGAAGATCCGAGAATTCCAGGCGTTTTTTCCAAGGGGATCCAGAAATTCTAGGTGTTTCCCCCTTAAAGCTCCAAAATTTCTAGGCGTTTCTTAAAAAAAAAAAAAAAAAAAACTTTAGTTGACGTGATATATGCTCTGATGTTGCAAGGTTGTTGTAGAATTTTTAAAAATAATTTGAATTACGGCGTCTTTGTGGTGGGTGGTAAGTATAAGGGAATTTAATAATAAAATTAAAGTGAAAGGGGACCATAGGGGACAATTTTATAAGGAGGCTAAGTTCGTACATACATGTCAAAAAGGGAGCGGTACCTGGTAAAAGAGGAGTGTGGTTTAGTGATTCACTTGATCTTATGTCTTGGATATCGTAAAAAAAATTATAACAGTAATTGATATAATGATGTGTTTTGCGATCAAATCGATATAGGAAGCAGATTTAATGATGTGTTTTGCAATCAAATCGGTATAGAAATCAGATTAATTGGAAATTTTGATTTGTAATATTTGCGGATTTTACCTACCCATTTGGAAAAGATTATTTTTGTTTGAAAATATATTTTCTAAAACTAAAAAGTTACCAATGACCACGGTGACTATAGTTTGGAATTTACAAGAAAATGTATAAAAAAAAAAATTAATGGAAAAGTACGATGATTAATGCATGTGGTTCAATTTAAGGTGATTCTAGAACTAGCTGATTTGGTTATGGTGCAGGTAACCTGTGTGTCCTTGGTGAACAATTCAGCGCGTGCAAGCCGTGCACAATACAATGTATTGTGCGTCTTGTGCACAACCTTTCGGGCCTTTTTTACACATTGGTACATGATGATCATACACATTTACACACCCAAACACACAAGGTAGGTATCATTTATTAGAGAAAAGTTGATGAAACCTGAGCAATGAACATTGGAAATAAAGAGGCAACATCTGATATCACATCTGCCTTTCAGCAACATTCGGAATTTGCTTTCTAATGATTCAGACATTCAGGGTGAATCCTTGCAAAAAATCGAGGATTAAGATTTAAGATTACATGATCTCCAAGACGAGACTACTACTGCACATGAGCTATAAAAGGGAGCAAAAATCATATGTACCATAAATTTCTACTTTACATGTTGAATTTCCACATTCTGATGTACTCTGTATTATGAATAGTGACAACTTTTCCCATTCCCACGGCTAAGCATTTTACGGGTGGCCGAGCAGTGATAGGAATATCACCAATGGTAGCATCTTCAGTTAATCTCTTCACCTTTCTTCTTTCAACTGAACCGTACAAGCTTCTTGTCGAAGTCAGTTTGGCGTTGCTTTGGTCCATTACACACTTTGTGAGGATTTCACCAGTATTCTGATCCAGAATTCTCAGAACACCATCAACGCCACCAACAACCAGTGTTGAAGTGTCATGTCGGAGATGTTGCATTGAATAGATTGCATTAGGGCTCACCCGTAAACTCCACAGTGATTGCATTTTCCTACAATTTAGTGAGCATGTGATGATTATACATCAAACTGAAATAAGTTGCTAATCTAGGAAAATTGACAGAGCTGGGACAGCAGTACCTAAGGTCCCAACAAGCTGCATAACCGTTCGATGATCCAGCAAAAACCAAATGAGAAGGAGGATTGTAGCACAAGGTATCTATACCTGGTGAGCAACACATCACATTAATGATCATACTTCGAGACTATATTAAACTCCTTTGTCCCAAAATAGTACGTTACATTTCTCATCTATTTTCATCCCAAAATAATAGGCCATTATAAACTTCGGAAGTTTAATAATCCCTAATTACCCTTAAAGGCACCTCATAATAATTCCAAAGAAGGATTGCATAGGTAAGGTGGAGAAATAAATATTTAAAATACGACAGATAATTAAGGTATTTTAGACACCTGAGTTTTCCTGCATCATCTAACTTAAGAACTTAGAGTAGTTGTGAATTCACAATTAGGTAGCCCTTATTAGCCCTAAACTTAAATTATTTAAGCTTACATTGCCTTACTTGAACCGCCCTCGGCTATTTTCCCTAATATAGGACTCCAAAGCAGATGTGGTCTGTTATTTAGGGACAAAAGTATACCATCTCAAAAATTTACAATTACTGTATTTTAAAAGGTAGAGGAAAATGACAACAATAAAGGATCTTTTTCCCATCAACACCAATCAATATGTTAACAACGAGCCTTCCTTCATGCTAATAATCTTTCAAATTTCGTAATTAATCACAGTATAGAATGAAGACAAAATCAAACCTCCTCTAAGATTGGTTGGCTTTAAATTAGCAACTCGCTGATCAGATAATAGACCATATGCAGTTATGTTTCCATTAGATGAACCACTCAGAACCAACTGGTCCTCTCCCACAGCCAAACATTTTACTTGAGAAGCATGCATTCTGCAAGATCAAGAACAAAGTTAGTTGCAGAAATTTCAATTTTAAGAAAAGGTGATAGCCAAAAGAACAGTAATGGTAAGTTTATTGAACATAACATTCTCTACCCCCTGGAGGGTTAGAAGACAACAACAAATATCTCTAAGTAACAGCCAGTGACACTGTAGAAGAAAAATCTGACATAATAAACATTGCAAAAGTAAAAATGACAGCTGTGAGCTGTCAATCATAATTTTGGTCGGAAGTGTCGGTTGATTTCCGGAAAAAGGACGCTGCATCAAGGTTCAAACTTAAGCTATGTTGGGGACTTTGGGTCAGAACTGAATGGAGGCAAAATTGATGTCTGTCACTAAGATTAACTGTATACTTCTAATGAGAAACTTTAAAAAATACTGGAGGGAGCATGGGTCAAATTACCGGATTATTCGAGAACAACTTTTACTATACATGTCAAATACCCTAACTGTGCCATCCGCGCATCCAACCATAGCCTCTGGATCCATGTACCTTCATGAACACAACGAAATAACACACGTAAGGAACACAAAGAAAAGCTGTTAAAGTGTGAATTATAGTAGTGGATACATTTCGGAAAAAGAATATGCTTTACAAGAAAAAAAAAATTCCCTTTTATATACAAGAATTTTCAGAATACTCAACAATACATAAGTTTGTATCACCATTATTTACGACAATTAACACCTTTAAAAAAAGACCTCGCAAGCAGTCAAGCACTGAATTGCTTGCACAGCACAACAAAGCTGCATGTATAATATAGCTGAAACCATTTTGAGAATTTCGGCCTCGTTGATTCATTACACAATTACAACTAACAGCAAGCATGAAATGCACAACTAATCATGAAATAATGGAATTTCTTAACATTAATGGCAATAAACATAGACATTCATCAGTTAGAAGTGAAACAAACCCATCTATGAGCAACCGACTATTTCCTATCTTTTGTTGCCTAGTTATTAAAGCAATTCTCAAGGCTCAAGCCATAAGTGGATTACAGAAAAAATATATGTATATGACATGTAAGCTAAATTCTAGAGGCAATGGTCAAAACATGCTTCAAAGAGTTCAAACACTAGAGCTATACTAATAGAAAAAATATATGTGTACTCCGTATTATCAAGTTTTCTCAGTGTCATCCATATAGTGCAATAGTAGTAATGTAGAAATTAGCAATTAGTCCAAGGGATAGACTATAACTAGATGTTAAGCAAACGATTATAGATTTAAAATGCACCTGGATTCTAGAAACTGGTCAGTGGTCATTATGAAATAACGCAATTCCAATTATACATGACAAGACCTTTGATTTCTTTCATTGCTTTATAATGATAACTCACTTGGATATAACTATCTTTATTTTCATCATCAAATTGAAATTAAAAAGGGTATGCCTTAGCCAACTAAAAACAAAAATGTAATTATCAATCAGAGGGCACAGCCTACCTCATACATAAGCCCTTTGTGAATGTGCCTTCACGTGAAGGAAATATACTACGATTTCCATGGCGCCTCCATATACATATACGGGTCCCAGCCAAACCAACAACCTATAAAAATATGGTGACAATTTGAAAAGGTCACAAACTTGTAAATTAAAGACATATATGTCAGCAGATATATGTATAACCGACAGAGACTAGATTCTATCAATCAATCAATCAAAGCCTTAATCCCATAAGCGGACTAGATTCTACAACAAGGAAAAAGAAAACAACAGAAGGTGAGAACCTACTGCAAGGTATATAGCCGTAATAGCACTACTTAAGTTCAGTTGCCTTTTAATGAATTACTAGACAGCATTGACTTTTGACATTGGTTAAAGCATAACTGCACTTCTAGTCTTCTACTTTACCTTGCTTTCATCAAAATCAAAGTCAACTAGTGGACCCAGATCAGAGAGAGCGTACTCTTCCAAGCATTTGTAATTTGCTGATGACCATAGACGCATACACTGGCATTACAAAAGAAAAGAAATAAGTAGTCTGTAAGCTGTAAAAGTAAGGAGGCATCCAGAGAAAGAAGATACTTAGACGAAAAGCTACACAAAGGAATTAATCACTCCAGTCAAGATCGTTAGATTGTGATGGTAGTCACCATAATTACATCTGTGACCATAATAGAATGTGAGCAAAGTGCAATATGACTAAGGGAACAATACCTTGTCACCCCCACCAGTTAGGATCAAACCCATCTTCATACGGCAATTGTCAATCCTAAATGCGTAAATGGTAAGAAATTAGTGTCCTTTGTAGAGAAAATCCAAAAGTGTGAGACAAAGACATTGCATCTAATCATATTAATGAATAGACCATCTACCACCCAATAAAGATGCAAGACAGTTTATTTTCCCCTTTCAGATAAGGAAGCATTTTAACTCCATCATCCACAAATTTTCATGACGGTAATGGGTCTTATGGGAAATATATTCAGTAACAAGGAATGAATTATAAGGAGAGAAGGATGACTTTACCCGGACGTATGACCTTTCCATTGATCAACAATAAAAGAACCATCAACAAGAGCAGACCTATGACGCCGTGTTGCCAGATCCTCAAGTACCACGTTCAATGATTTCCCCATATCAATTGACGAGCTGGAGGCCTCATTACTCCATTGCTTAAGGTACAATGAATGCATTAATCTTGATTTGCTTATGATAATATTCCTTCAGCAAATGAGTAGACGCTAGTTCAGTATTGATAGACTTAAAGATATACTAATACAAACCCACCCACATATACACACACGATTCCAATAGTTACTACGTGAAGTATGCTCGTGGTGAAATGTATTCAGTGTCCATAACCCAATCAGAAACTAAGTACCTATTATCATTCCACTACATTAAGAGCAGTGTGACAGCAAAAGCAACGAGCCACATTGGGCAGGTATGAGTATGACTTATTGACCTCTGACGATTTGGAAACTACATTCCATGATAATCATGTTTGACCCTTGGACACTCAAATACAACATGATAATTCAACACTCCAATCAGTACCCATAAGGGCGCTGATTCTAGCCAAACTTGATGCTTTGAATGCATAGTTGATGGAAATTCGGTTTATTTAAAGGCATAACTAAAACAAGAACGTGGATTGTGATATCCAGTATCCATGAATTGATAATCCTCAACATTTAACAATAAAAATTAAAGTACTGCAAAATATGTGATCCTGTCATATTCACAGCTAAGGGAATTTCAAGAAAACTCAAGAGAAACAACCATTTGTTTCATCATTTATTTTACTTATTAAATAAAAATTACACAGTAATCAACTTTTCGATGAAATTGGGCTAAAATTAATAAGAACAACCAAATTACCAATAATTAAGGCAATTCCAAGATTCAAAACAACATACCCAATTCATTCAACTCAATTCATCTAATTCAATCATAGACACAAATCACAAAAAAAGAAAAGAATTAAACTTTCATCGAAAATTCATATAAAAAGTAACAGAAACTGAAGAATTCCCCCATAATAAGCTAAAAATACCAACATATGAAGCAATTATAGCCAAATTAGATTAAATTCGACCCCAGAAAAAAAGATTAATTTGGGTACAAAAGGAAAGAAAGTGAAATAAAAAAGATAAAAGATGGAAAAAAGAACCATGATTTGCAGACAGCAGAGCAGCGGACGATGTCGAAGAGGTCTAGGAAAGCAAAGACAACACAAAGAATATCTTGGTCGAGTAATTTAAAGCTGTTAATCCTCTGCTTTGAACTTCGCTTGCCTTTCATCTCTGCAACTCCCCTGCAACAATCACTACTCCACTCTCTCTCCTACCTAGTATTTTCTTCTCAATTTTTCTTCAATTATTTATCTCTTAACCTAAATATTAAAGTTTTTTTTTTTTTTTTAGGAATTGATTTTGGCACGTCTTTACGCGAGGACGGCATAGAGAATTGTGCTCTCTCAACGGGTGTGCCAAAAACAATTCTCCATCGCAATTACTCCATAAAATCTTAGGCTTTTATCATCTTCATTTCCGTCCCTATCACATGTCAACTTGAATTGCAAAAATAAATACTTTTCTTATGCACATTAATGGTCGATGGAGTGGTGTATAGAAACATCAAAACCTTAGCTTATGTACATTTGATATTTTGAACCTTCTTAAACTATTTTAACACGATCGAAGTTAATAAACTTGTTTCCTCAAGGTTTTCTCTTTGGGAGAGTTTTTTTTTTTTTTTTTTTTATCCTTCTAGGGTTTCTCCATTGGGAGGGTTTTCCTAGCTTCCATTGCTAGGTTTTTTCAATTTTTTTTTTGAACGTTTTCCTTCTCTCTATTGCCTTTTCTCTCCATCTCTACCATCTCTTTCCTCTTGAGCTTAGTTGTGAATCTTTGAAGGGGCTTCCACTGGTACTCTTACAGGTGGTAAGCCCCCAAAAACCTTTTAATTGCTTTCAATAAATAAATCCCATCCTTGATATGATGATTTTTCTCTTGATTTTATTTTCTTTTTATGTTTGTATGGCAAAAATTGAAGATCTAGGGTTTCATAATCTCTACAAGAATCCGGCGGACCACATGAGTATTTTCGCTCAAACGACTACGCATCAGTAGATTTCAAGCCGAATCAATGCGAATTCACAGATTATATTGCTTCAGATGAAGTTTTTTATTAAAGCAATTGTTAATCAAACTTACGATGTATTTAGTTTTAAGGTGTGTACTTGCGTTGAAATTCTTGATTTCTTAGGGAATTATATGTGCCGTTTGGCTATATTTTATTAATGAAATCCCTTTTTCTTCTTATACAAAAAAAAAAAAAAAAAAAAAAAAGTATTTTAACACGAGTTGAATATTCCAGTCTTAGCCTTTTATTGTAGTTTTTGTATTAGTGCAACATCCAAGCTAAGTCCCGTAATTGGAACCAAAGATATCACGTTCTTACCTAAGTATGTAGTGATAAATGTGTCAATGTGATAATATTACAAATTTCATGATCGAAGAAATTAAAAGGAGTTCAGATTAATGAGTATTCGATAAATGAGAGTTAAAATCATAGATATATGGTTAATTCTTAATTCTTGTTGATCATATTATGAAGGGCCAAAAACTTCCCATGCCATTCAATACAAAAATTCAAGAACATTACAAAGCTTACTACCCGAATATAAAAAGAACTCGGGATTGTATAACAAGTCTGAATACACTAATACTATACAATCAAAGCTCGCATGATCTCTGTTTCAAGATCGAATAGGGCAAATCTACAATGCTAGAATGAACTATGGCATCCTACAATTCATGGGAAGAGGAAGAAACGACTATTTGCTAATGAAAATTGATCGAGGCCATCGAAACAATAAGCAAAAAGCAGCCTAGGATCAAGATCAAAAATGATCCATGGCTCAAATGTTAAGCTTGCTATTCGCGTGTCCTTTGAACTCCAATGAATCGAGCAAAATCCACCCACCTGTCACCAATGACACAACAAGTACGAGTAATACATTAGAGAAAGAACTAGGGAAAAACCAACTCTATATACTATGAAAAAAGTACTAAGTACTAACGATCTTACATCAATGAGCCTAAAAATGTGTTTCCTGTCCGTACTGCAAAGCAGACCGCGCTTAATATAAGCTTGCGATCATGAAGGAATGGCTCCAGAATTCTTTGTTCGATTACTCCTGCTATGATTTGGTACCTATAAAGATAAGGAGACGTAGTTAATGACTAGACTGTATTACACATATATGTGTTTAATCCACTATGAATTTCGGGGTTTTATCAGCATTACCTAAGGTTGGCAGAAACTGATAAATATACACCGTAGGCTACGCTGGTTGCCAGCATTGGAATATCTTCTCCATCAGGCGAAAAGGTTTTATCAACAGTCTTCCTTGCATTTATCAGCAGATTTGTAACTCCTGTACCAATCTGAAAAAGGGTAGAGCTTGCCTTCAGTTTGAAAAATGGTTAAATCTTACTTGAAAACTATGTGAAATCTTGTTGATTTTTCTTGAAAATGGTGCCATTTAGAGTCTAGAACTCTAGAAGATATATAATTGGTAACAAATGAATTGAACTAACCACAGATGATGTGGCTCCAACAGCAAAAAGTTTTGCTCCATTACGCTGCAAAACAAACAAAGATATCGATTATAAGCTCATAATGTGTTCGATCTGCTAGTAGGAAGGCGGATCAGGCCAATTATACAAAGTATACTAATTAGATGAGCTGCCAACATACCGCGAGAGCACCAATTCTCTGTAGAATTGAATATGTAGTTCCTGCAACAGCAACCTGTGCGGTGCAGTATGATTCAGATTTCAGAATGTCAATGTATACTGATGCAAAAATTTTGTGACTGAATATAATTTATAGCATATGGTGAAAAGAACCTGAAATGCATTATCAGGGCACCCATAGAAAAACTTGCCCACAGGTCCTACACTGCGTGCAAGTGCAGGTCGTAAGGAGACGGTGGGTGCAGGAAGCCAGACAAGCAGAAAATCTGCAACCAGAGCCATTATCTAACAGCAAACACAATTTGATTCATGTGTTATCTACTATGCAATTAAGTTGTTACCAAAAAAATGTAAACAGAACTGAAAGTTTTAGCATTCTTACCACATCAGCTGTGACAAAGTCCAATTCCTTTTTAAAATTATCCTTACGTTTCTCCAATTCTGCAGCTGTCTGTAGAACAGAAACAGCAATGTAATGTCAGTGACTCCGAAGCCATAACAGTCATTATATCGAAATCTACTCATTAACAATACTTCTAAGTTACTTCATGTTATGTGACACTTAAAAACCCGAGACATAAGTAACATAACTAGTCATTTTAAAATACTAATGTGATAACTAACGAGTTATATATGTGCCCGTGACCTTAAAATATATCAACACGATGACATGACTACTTTTTAACTCCAAAAAAGGAGTTTTAGAAACAAGTTTAATTAGCTACATTTAGAAACATGAAGATTCATGGATGCAAATATTATTATATAAAGTCAAGTGCATTATTCCTAATTTTCAAAAAATCCCATTTACATAAAATAAATCCTCATGAATTAAGAATAATGCCAACCTTAGTAAACATTCCAATACCACATTCAATTCCAACTTTAGTCAAGAAAAGATCATCAGCAAGCAACCGTTCTTTAAACCCACCAAACTGAAGCAACCACCGGAAAACCGGCGACTTCTCAAGCTCAAAGTAACGACGAAGAATCGAACCCGGTATCCGACCGGCTTCAACCGCCATTGATAAGTCTTTAGGCAAGCTTTCCAATGACCTTCCCACCTCTGCAAGAGCAAGAATTGCTTCTGCTCTGTTTCTCTCCCCTGCATCTCCATCACCACCATCTCCACCACCTCCGCCACCACCTCCTCCGTGAATTCCTCCATCACCACCACCACCTGAAAATATTTGGGTTGAAGAAAGGCGGTGTCTTTCGAGGCGGGTGAGTGAGAATTTTGGAGGGGTGTAGGTGATAGAGAGGTGTTTAATGGATGGAAAATTATGGTGGGTTTGAAGATTAGGTTGTGAGAGAAATGGAGAGGAGTGAGAAGGAAGGAGAGAGAGAACAACCATGGTTGCCATCTCTCTCTTGAAGATATTTGGGTGAGCTCCAAAGTGATGGTATGTTTTTAGAGTGTTTGATTGTTTGAGTGAGTGAAAAGACAGGGGATTTGGAGCAAGAAAGAAAGGTGTGGTTTAGATGAAGTAACAGAAAAAATAAAAGAGTGAAAAGGCCAACCACTATGCATTATGTTAGCTATAAAGTGGGGCTCATTATAACAACTAATAGCCACGCCCAAACAATGCAAGCCGTTGTTTAGTTGAGCTTCTACTAGTGGTGATTGGTGAAAAGGCTATCCCACACGCCTCTTTGGGTTTTTTCTGATCTAAACACGGTTGCTAGTTGCCGGTGCCGGTTCAAGATGAACATGGCCATTTTAATTTTTAGAGGAGTCAAATTATTAATTTTGCGTATATCTATAACCATAACAGACTTATCGATAGGCTTACTAAGTACCGAGATTGAATCCGGTTCATTTTTACGGCTATTTTGGAAGTGTGTTACAATTGTAGTCCAAAGTTGCAACACAAGGTTCAAGCCACCCAAAATGCTATGCCAAGGTCGCATGGGAACCATGGGAAATGCTCTAGCCTCTATCTTTTCTAGGCTCAGATAAAGTCGAAAATCCTCTTAAATCTTAAATCAAAGGCTATAATTGATGCTCTCACACCAATTTTAGGATTACTTTTGAAGTTGAACTAAAACCTTGGGTTTTCCCCTAGGTCATAAAAGTTAGTTTGGAACCATTATAGACTTAACAATACACTTACATGCTACATGTACCCATAAATGAGTTCAGTTCAATTCAACAGTTAATTATGTATTACTTTGCAATTATATTCAACAACTACAATTGATGATTCCAACTACCCAAATGACCTCCTATAGTCTTGTAGGATCCTTAGAAAACATCCCAACCTAGTTCATTTACGAACCCGAAAAGTAAAAAGTTGTGCAAAAACAAAGGCTTATGACTCACCTTTCGGAGCAATGTATGGAAATTTTCCAAATTCGAAATGAATGTCTGAGGTGTCATCCAAGGGTTATAAAATTAATTATGAACCATAATAAGCCTACAAAGTCCAATTCGTATGAGTTCGATTACATTAAACTGGTAGTTAAGAGTCACAACAGATGGTTTAATTGGTTATGACTTATGAGACGCACAAATTCTCCAAAAAGGCGGGTGTACGTTAATTTATTGTAAAACGGGTTAAAGTTATATTAAAAGTACTTAAAATTACCTTTTATACTGCAAAAGTTATTATTATTCTATTAATAAATTTTATCTTACAAAATAATTTATAATGTATTAGATTAATCATATTAGTCTTTATAAGAAATTACATATTAAAATAAAATTCAAACCAACGATAAATTAAAAATTACCCTTTAAGTGGTTAAAGTTAGCATAAAAATAGTTAAAGTTTACGCTGAAATTAATCGTTCTACAATAAAATTAATGTACACCCGTTGTGACTAAGACGACCTAATGTGTGGCTACTGTTGCATATTTGGCCCATACCCAAGAAGAAAGAAGTTTCATTCCAAAGGCTATAATCACCTCAATCTCTCTCTACAATCCAAGCGTGTTCCTCTCATCCTCACCCTTTGTCATTTTCTCTCTCTAGTATCTCTTCCTTTTCTTCTTATCTGATTATTATTTGGATAGCCAATTCACTCTCCTTTCTTTGCACTTCCATCACTCTCTTTTCTGCGAGCAACAATGGCTTCTGTTGCACCGCCATCTTTAACCCTCTGCTACGCCTCTTCCTCCTGCCATTACCAGCAAGACCTCGCCTTTTACCCCTCTTTTCAAACCCACTCTAAACCCCTTTTTCTCAATTTCTCTCTTTCCCCTTTATCTCTCAATCAAAGGGAAAGAAAATGTCTCAAGTGGGTTGATTTCAATTCCCACAAAAATTCATCCAAATTTGGTAATTTTCATGTTGTTGCGGCTGTTGCGGCGGAAGCTGTTGTTGCTGACTCGTCGGAAGAGGACGGAGAGGGTGGCGGTGTTGCGACTTTGCCTCAGCCTCAGCCTTCTAAGCCTAAGAAGGGAAAAGCTGCTTTGCCCTTGAAGAGAGACAGAGTATCAATTTTCTCTTTTCGTCCTTATTATATTTGAAATTGGTGCATTATATGCTTTGTGATTAATTCTGTTTTCTGGAAATTCTTAGAAATTTAATGTGATTCATTATGTCTCTATTTGTGCTTCATTTGTCATTGTATAATTTTTATAATTGAGTTTTTTTCTTTTCTTAATCGAGTATGAGTGTCATTTTTCTCTTTTCTTCCCTTTGTTTTAAGTTTGAAATTGATGAATTATGTGCTTAATGATTATCTCTGCTTTCTGGGTATTTTAGATTTTCTGAAAATTCTTAGAATTTAAGTCCACTCATTGATATTTTTATGTGGCTAAATATGCTTCATTTGTTATTATATATTTATAATTGGGTGATTTCCCATAATTTTTTAGTTGCCTCTGTATGAGGATATGAGGCTACTCTTTAAATTAAGTGAATTGTGATTATTACTTTCTGGCTGAACAGAAGTTGAGATTGTTAAATAGGCATAATTCGGATTCGGAGTATAAAACCTTAGCCATAGTAGAGTTCTAAACCTCTGACCTTTCAATCACGAGGTTGGGGATTCAATTCTCAATGCCAGTCTAATAGGATTGAGTATTATGTGGTTGTTTCCTTCTAGATAAGATGCCTACTATCAGTCTATATGAATGAGTTTTCCTTCATAGGGATTGTTTGCGCTGTATTTCAGATGGATATTTAGTATGTTAGTTCATTGAATCATTTAGGGTTGGACTTCTATCAATTGTGTACTGATACTTATTCGATGATTTGTCAGACGAGGTCGAAGAGGTTCTTAGAGATTCAAAAGCTCAGAGAAATCAAGCAAGAATATGACTTGAAGACAGCGATATCATTGATGAAGCAAATGTCGTCTACAAAGTTCGTAGAGACTGCTGAGGCCCACTTTCGTTTGAATCTTGATCCTAAATACAATGATCAACAGCTGAGAGCAACTGTATGTCTCCGAGATAACCACTGTTGTCCCTTAGGTGTCTCTTGTTAAGTTTGGGTTTTATGTAATTATCTTGAAAGTTTGGATGCTAAAAGGTAATGTTATACAGGTGAGTTTGCCCAAGGGAACTGGAAAAACTGTTAAAATAGCTGTGCTTGCCCAAGGTATGAATTCTAATGATTTTTTGGGATTCATATGTTTTAGTTACTTGTGAAAGGCTGAGTGCATTCTATGCTGATATAACTTGGTACGGATGGTACCTGTGTAGTAGCATGGGCTATAAGGACCTTGTAAAAAGCTATTATCAACATATAAGGGGAGCTGGAAGAGTATATATATGTGGACCAATTATAATCCCCACTAAAGTTGCCCAAACAGTTGTGTGGTATATTGAAGAGTTGGATTTTAGGAGCCATTTTCCACTTTAGGCCTTCTTGCAGCTATGTTGTGGACTTATGGTTATTGTTGTACCCAAATTATCAAGATAACTCAAAAAAAGAGGATTGCACATATGGAAAATGAGAATGTATATAGGCTGTAGACATCAATTATATGAATTACAGAGTATGATGCTAGTTAATGTCAACATCAGCTTGTAGAAACATTTGGAAAATTCTACTACTAGAATTGCTTAATTGTTATTCTAATGCAGTTATTAATGTCAGTAGTTTGCTTCCTGAATGCATGTTACATTAGAACAACCTGTCATATAAAGACTGCTTAGAGGATTTCTTAAGCCTCCTAGTCCTTTACCCAAGGCAGGAGGCCTATTGAAAGCATCAGGATGTCATCAATATGGTACCATAAAAAGTTGCTAAAACTTCACTAAATGAGAAAGAAGTTAAAAAGTGATAGGATGTCAGACCTTCCCTAGATTGAAGGCAAATAAACATTGGGGCATTTTCATCTGGGAAGTAAGAGGATAGTTTTGAGTTGGACAGAGCTTTTATTAATTTCTTTCCTTGTGCTTCTACTTAAAGTTTCTCAAAGATTTTCATCTCATCCCAGATGTGTGTAATGGCAGGTGACAAAATTGATGAAGCCAAAGCTGCAGGAGCAGATGTAGTTGGTGGAGAAGAATTAATAGAACAGATAAAGGGGGGTTTCATGGACTTCGATAAATTGATTGCAACATCTGACATGATGGCTAAGGTGATGCTCTTTTCCTGTTGATTTCTGTCATTATGTGTGAAATATGCCAGAATTCTGCTACTGAATTTCTTTTGTGCTTCATGCTTGATGGCTTCTGAGTATGATGTTTTGATAAAATTGATTGGTCAAGATAGACTTCAGAGCTATTCGAAAATTTGTCTTTTTGCCTCCCTCTTCCCCACTCTAATTCAGAGCTCCTAAACTTATCTGCTTGGTATTTGCCATAGGTTGCCAGTCTAGGAAGGATTCTGGGGCCACGAGGGCTCATGCCAACTCCAAAAGCTGGTACGGTCACACCAAACGTAGCTCAGGTAAAACAATTGTGCCCTATCAACAACTTATATTCAAGGAAATAAATAGATGTTTCATCCTGGACTCCTTTGCATTGTTGGCCAGTGGCATCTGCCCGCTCCCTGCACCTTAATATAGAAAAAGAAACAAACTCATTGTTAACACAGAAAGCGGGGAGGATACTTTGAGGGTGGGGTTTTTGCCTTTTTGGGATGGACATGGCGCTGTGGAAATAGTGAGACTGAAAACTAAAATGTTGTGCTCTATGATCTTCCAGGCAGTGGAGGAATTCAAGAAAGGGAAGGTGGAGTTTAGAGTTGATAAAACAGGAATTGTTCACATTCCCTTTGGAAAGTTAGACTTCGAGGAGGAGGATCTTCTCATAAACTTGCTTGCCACTATTGTATGTACTTTGATCTTTTAATCCATCACTGTTATACATGTACCTTTTATGTCAAAAAATTTAACCTTTTGTTATTATGTTCTAGAAATCAGTGGAGACCAATAAGCCATCCGGGGCTAAGGGGGTATACTGGAAAAGTGCCCATATCAGCTCATCTATGGGACCATCTGTTCGGTTAAACATTAGGGAGATGCTTGATTATAAGCTTCCTTCAAATGCTTAAGACAGCCTGGTGTAAATTTTGTTTTTCTACTTTCTACATTTGCTACGTGAATTTTTGGAGCTCTTCAATAAATGTAGAAGCAGCACTTCAAGGATGAGGAATTCGGGACTGAAAAGACTTCATATGAATCAGAATTCTTCAGTGACATGGATGTTCACTAGCAGGCTGACAAATTATTATTGTAATTTTGTATTCGAAGTTGGTACTTAACTAGTGAAAACGCTATATTGTAGTTTTGGACTCTTAAATGAAAATAGTTTGATTGTGGCTCATGTATAGCTTCATTGTGCAAGATCTTTGCAACTAAGTTTGATGATATAGAAGTACTCATCATATCTTCAAAAGGAGGGATTGTAATTAGAAACTACGCATGAAGAATAAACTTCTACTATGAGATAAAACTCTCTTAGCAACTGTAAAGCAAATATTTTACTTTACTGAGTAAATTTTAGAGGGTACTCATCATCATTTAACTTACAAATCAAGGATAAAGATGTGCTGTTAGGCCTGTTACAGCTGAAATGTGTGATAATAGTTCTTATAATTACATAAATATGTTTGCATTGAGAATTTAATGAAACATTTTGCCTGAAGCAAATATATGATCTATGTCCCAAAAAGAAAACCAAAACCCTAAACATAGGAGTTGATCTGTATCATTAGCCACAACTACAGCAAACACAGATCTTTTCAGCATTGAGCTTGTCCAAGATGAGATATGATTGTACGCCAGCTTTCTCCCTTGCTCCACACTAAAAGCACAGGGGGAAAAAAATAGTTTTCTTGTCAGCTTGGACAGTAAGAACATGAAATGATTCTACGTTGCTCTATCTGATGGATACTAACCTTTAGCAGGCCCCTCGATATATGGTCCATTCATGATATTCAAGACGCTACATGCATCACTATACTCTAGGTCAGGCAGCAATTTGGGTGTCAGCAAAAAACACCTGTGAAGGAAAGAAGCAATCATCTAGAATTGTCATGCAAAAACAAAAGTAGAAAGTCCAATAAAAGCGGAGAAGCATCAAAGTGTACCAGCAGCAATTTATGCAATATACTATTGAATTACAAAATACAGTACAACAGGTTCATAGATGGTAAATTGAGAAGGCTAGAAGATCATCAGACGAACTTGATTTCCCTTTGGTATCAGAATTTGCAGCATATCTTCAAGGACTTCACAACATTTACTGCATATCTCCATTTCAAATATTGCTAATACTGGACCCTCTTATGTTCAATATTAAAATCTGTGTACCTACCTCGTATATACCTCACTTATTATCATAACTCATGAATAGTGAAAATTGGCCAGAGTTGTATGAGAGTGCTACAGGAATTCTATTGAAGCTCACCTAGAACTGTGGCTGACAGATTTCAGAAGGAACTAAGGAGGAGGATTGTTTTAATGGTTTGATCAAGACATGCTTCTTAATGAATTGCCTTAAGTCACAACACCTATTTTGGTTTGCCACTTAGCCTCAAAAGAGCAATTCCATATTAAAATAATCTCAAAATCAAATCACTAGCTAAATTGACTAGATATTCGGCTTAGAAGAAACCATATACGGTGGATATCAGAAGAAAGTAGAGGCAGGAAATTGTACTTTCCAGTGATGATAGAAAAGTTTCATAAGGAGCCTGATAAAATGTTGGTTTTTCTACAAAAGAAAGCATTATTTCCTCTGCTTAGATGGTTTAACCTCCCATTTCCACATGAGGTACCCTTTCTAGTACTGCCAACCAACCAACCAAGACAGGGAAAAGGATTGTGAAACCAGTCTGCTGATATGTCGTGGAGCTAGTTAAAGCCATTAGTACAGCCTAAAAATAACCACATGCCATAGTACAGATTACACTAAACTAGATAGAACTACTATCATGACAGAGAGGTCACTCCCACTAAAACTCTGAACTCAGAAGGCACAAATAACCATGATAACTCCATTACAAGAAGTCTAGCAAGCAAACAGATGCAACTTTTCCATATAATTCAGCTACCAAAGCCATAGCCATGTCAGTAGAAATTTGGTAAAAACAAATATTCTTACTGTGGTGTATTAGGTTGACTAGCAGCTCTCACCAACTGCTGAAACATCTTTCTTTCATTGATGGGATCCATTCCTGGAGAAGCACAGGAGCAAAGTTAAGAAACTATTAATTAGATCAGTGAATTCTTGAAGTTAGATAGCAGAAATCACCTTGATTAATTTCATCTACTCTAAAGGGAAATTATTAGTTAGATAATGAATTCTTGAAGTTAGATAGCAGAAATTACCTTGATTAATTTCATCAACTACTCTAAAGGGGCATATAGTAAGATCTTGTAGAGAAACAAGGTACAATATGGTTGAAACTGAACGCTCCTGCATGTACAAATACAAGGTGCCATAAGGTATACAGTGTTTAAATATGGTACTCATGGAAATAACTTGGATAGATGAAGTACCCCTCCAGATTGATGATGAGCACTAAGGACTTGAAGTTGTCCAGCTTGCCTAACAAAAACGAGGAATAAATTAAATTGGCACAATATTAAAATAAATGCGGTTTCAATATGGTTTAATGGTGAGAAAGGAGATAGATAAATAGAATATTAAAAAAGACATCCTTTCACGTCAAAAAAAAAAAAAAAAAAAAAAAAAAAAAAAGACATCCTTTATTAGATTCTTAGGCTTTTACAAAACCATCCCTGCTTCCTTCGCCATTTCAACAGCATTCCCAAGACAGCAATTCATCACATAGAACACTTTTAAAAGGAAAGTCATACAAGCACAACCATTATGCTCTTCCACTGAGACTAGTGGAAACTGAAAACATCATAAAAACTACTTCCTACTACAGATGTGTTTTGAGATAGAGCTCTGACTTAATTTTATTCGTAAATATCATTTCTGCACACACACAATAAATTTCAAAAATATGGTGTCATAAACAATAAAGTAATGAGTGCGGACATGTGGTAACCTTAATAATGACCACGTGCATCATCCCCAATGACTATTCTCCACACGTGGTAACCTTAATAATGACCATGCCCATCATCCCCAATGACTATTCTCCACATATGCTGGTTATTTGTCAGCAGTGGTCTTATTGACTTAAAATGTGACAAAAATTTGCAAATAAATGGAGGTCCCCAGAATTATTTGTAGTCTTCACCATGTTAGGAATTCAAATATAAGCAACGCAAGCCACAAAATTTTAGCTCTCACATTAACCCATGCATATCTTTACAGTAATACAACTTCATAAGTATTTCTTTGTGGACTAATTTTTCAGCAACTGCGAGGCCCTTCAAGTACAGAGTGGAAATTGTAATTGTTAGGGTCCACAGCAAATAACTCGATCTGAACTCAAGAGTTTAGACACTTGTCACACTGTCCAAGTGTCATCTTCTTGCTCTCTAGTATCTTCCCTGGACCCTGGTGCCCAGTGAACAAGAGATACCCAGAGGAAAGAAGTGCAGAGAAACACACTTTAAAGGTTATACTGAAAGCAAGTCCAACAGATAGCATAAGGCAAGACAAGTTTGAAAGTAGTTACCTGAACTTTACTTTTATAACTATACCGTATGCACCAAAGTCCATGTCACGCTCATCTAATAATGCATAAAAGATTTATCAGACTATCACAATAGAAAACCATTCTCTCTACCACTAAATATCTTCAATTCAAGACACCTCAGTTGATACCTAAAGATACTTCTCCAGCAACAGCCATCTCCTGAAAATTATGACCAAATGTTCCATTGATCTGAGAAACAAGATTCTGCAATGTTGGAAGCCAGCTAGCCTGAAGCCAAAAGATTATGGTTGTAAGCTACAAGTTTGTGCTAGAGAGAACTAGAGATGAAAGAATGATTAGTGAGCAAGTAGGCCAACTTAGTTGGCAGAAATTTCAGTAAAAGAGAACTACCTTCAAGGCATCTATTTCAGCCAAAAGAGTCCTGAATCCATGTTCTTCCTCTTTAAGTGTTCTTTCCAAAGCTTCAATCTGCAATAGATAAAAGCACACAATTGACAATTTAACATAAGTGCAACCAGATGAATGTTCGATGCAATCGATGAAAGGCATTACCTTTCTTTGTCGCATTTCATACTCTGCCAAAACATTTTGATTGAGCAAGAGAATGGAACTAGCTTGATCCAAATTATCTTGAATAGCTGCCTCAAGTTCCTCAATAGTACTAGGCATCTGAAGGCAAAGAGAAATGCATGTACGCAACATATGAGGATATGTTTCAAATCAATTAAATCTAAGAGTTCTTATAGATTAAGCATGTTGAGAGTTTGGCAGCAAATTTATAAGTTCACATTGAAATATCGTCAATGTTACATAAAGTTTGAATAGTTATTTCTTAAATCAAGGGGGAAAAAAAAACATTTTCAGAGGACGAATATACCCCAGGAAAAAGCAATGAAAGCAAAAGCTAGTGGATGTATGTGCCAAAGCACTGTGCAGCAGCATGTCAAACTATCAATATTGAATCAGAGCTGGGGTAAATTTAAGATTCACTCTCTCAGCATATTGTTTTTTAACAGCTCTGGGTGATGGGGAATCTAAACATCAGGACTCCAGGGAATCCACATTATAGGATCAAATTCTGAGAAAGAGATCACGAATCATAAGATTTGGGAGGAGCTCTTTCTTCAAGAAGCTGAGGGATTATGAAACAGGCATAACCAAATGATTATCAACAGACCTGAAGATTGCCAGGCTCAAACTCTACCTGGAAAATCAGGTTCTTCGAGAATTGAAGCTGTAACCAAAAACTTGTCGTGTATTCAGGTTATATTACTTGACTCTTCACAACAGAAGTAAAAGGAAAGGATTTAGCTACCCAAATTTGCACTTGGTAGCAGTCAAGTAGTGTTCTCTTTTTAGATGTAAGGAGTAAAATTAACACTAGGCAAAGCAGCTTTTGGATGCAATGGAGCTGAAGCTGCTTGATCCTATGGGATCATTAAAGAATATAAAAGAATGAGTCAGAGATTTATCTTGCAACAATCAAAGGCAAAAATAGGGCTTCCTCAATCACAATCCTCATCCCCTCTTTCAATTAAGCACCAGCCCTCTCATTTTACTCTCTTAACCTTCTCAATTACATGCTTATTCAATAATTGCAACCATTTCAAAAGATTGAAACAAAATTATATTACTGAATTATCTCTAATAGAAAGTAGCAATTACATATGTTATCCCATCCGTAACAGATATAAATTTAAGGAAAATTTGTGAGAAAGGTCCTTTTAAGTGGTCGACTTTGTGAGAAAGGTCCTTATATAAAAAAAGTGGCAAAAAAGGTCCTTATATCCCATTTCGTTTGTAAGGAGGGACCTTTGACCGATATTCCGGCGATTGACTTTTATTTTCCAGCCTTGTTTCGTCTTTTTTTCCCTTTTTCCTCTTTTCCCTCCAATTCCAACTAAGCCTAATTCTTCCCCCCTTATTTCTCCTTCCTCTCTCTAATTTGCGAGTCCTAGTTTTAAGAAAGTAGCTTGTTCACATCAATAAATTAGAGACTTAAAGGAGAAATAAGGGGGAAAAAATCAGGGGTAAGTTGAATTTGGAGGGAAAAGGGAGAAAAACACAAAAAAAGAGTATTTTTATAATCACGTGATAGTTAATAGTCGGAAAATGAAGTAAATCGCCGGAAATTGGTCAAAGGTCCCTCCTTACAACCTAATTGGGATATAAGGACCTTTTTTGCCACTATTTCTCACAAAGTCGGCCACTTTGAAGGACCTTTCTCACAAATTTTCCTAAATTTAATGTAAAACATATTGAGAAATGAAAGGCTAATCAACTATTTAAAAGGGGTGACCTGGAGATTACTCCAACTATTGGGCGTCAATTAACAGCTCCTCTTTGAAATTGATGCAACAGAAGGAAAACGTATGACAATATTAATTAGCTCTCAAGCAAAAGAGCCTAGGAATCTAAATGTGGACGGCATTAAGACCAAAGTTATTAAAATCGAGATTCTACTTTGAATCGGAAGGGACTCGCAGAATCAAATCGTAAAATAGAATCGTAATCTAGACCTCACATTTAAATTTAATAAAATATATTTGTATTATGAGTTTGAAACCTAATTTTTAATAGAAAATAGTTGATTACCCATTAAGGAACCAATAATTGACTATATATTTATAAAATACCTTTGTATGCATGTTTTGAACATGTAAGGATTTCGCTAGTGAAGAGAAATATGTAAAATCGGGTAAATTGCAAATCGGACATACATGAATTGTAAAATCACAAGATTCTAAAATTTAAATCAAGATTTTAATAACAATGCTTAAGACCTAAACCCTAAATCTCCAATACCACTTTTTTTTTTCTTGAAACAACATTAGCAAAGCTCCCTTCTGCTAAAATAGATGTTTAAATCACGGTAAATAACGTTATGCTGACACGATAGAAAATGTGGAAAATACACTAAAAATTGCAAAAGGAATGGAGTCTATAAAGGTAACCAACCCAACCAATGCATAGTAAAATGTTCCATTAATCTTTGAAGAAATATATTTGGTTTCCACATTAATTTCGTACAGTTAGTCCAGGGGGGATAAAAGAAAGCCAATGTCACTAAAAGCACAAACAAGGCATAAATCTAATACACTGGGACATGTGCATTCAAGAGAGCCTACATGCAACCTTATGGCATAAAGAAATCTGATATCCCAAACTTGGAAACAAATCCATCCTCAGGGATTTGCAGGTGTCCAACGACTCAGAATTCAGAAATCTACTTGCACAACTGTAATTAATTGTCAGGAAATAAAAATTATATGTAAACATGCTATCCCAACCCGTCTATTGATAAATGACTACTACAAAAGTACACATCAACAACCTACCGTGACAATAGTTTTTAGGGTATATTTTAGACCAAAAATACCAAGCCCCAGCCTGCACAAGAGGGTTTTCGTCTCTTTTTCTACCTGATATTGGGCAAAAATTTACCCAAAACCCAGCCTGGTTTCAGGCATTGATCCTACACTCAGGTCTAGGTCTGCACCAACCAGCCAATTTGGACCATTATGGTAATGACACAAAATCTGGCACCACTAAAAATTCCATCCCAAAAAGCCCAACTTTGCTCATGATCACCTCTACCTCAGCCGAAAATCTATTCTAGTCAACTAAGGGAAGCTATGTTACATGGACTCGGGTATCCATGTCCGATGCGGGTATGTTACAAGTGTCTGACTTGGCTATTTTGTGGAAAAATCCGTAGTTTTAATTTTTGAACCAAAAGTGAAGTGTCCAAGTGTCATACCCATGTCCGAGTGTTGAGGGTCCGACATGGGTATTTGAGGTGAAATGAAGAGTCCATGCAACATAGCTGGGGAAGGTACACTGTTAGAGTTGTAACAAAAATAAATGTATAAAAAACCAACCTTAACAAAGGCCTCTTTAATTTCAGGAGTGATCTTTGCAATAGATTCAGCATATTTCTTGGCATCTGTAAGCCGCTCCTTGTGCCGTTCCACTTCTTTTTTACCTAATTAGTGAAGAGGGGAAAAGGAAATTAACACACTTTTACAAAACTATAAAGTCTATAATCTCAATCACTCAGAAACAGTAGCAGAGATCAAAGAAAATCACAAACATCTATAGATCACCCTAGAATTGATGTATTAAACTCTAAACATAAAAGTTGACCAAAAACAAAAAGTTAAAAAAATGAAATATGACTAGATGACCAAGATGAGGACAAACAGAAACAGAAATAACACACTTGAAGGGATAACATCTGAATGGAATAAAACACTGGAACAAAAATTTGGGAGATCAACTGGTGAAAGAAAGAGGGGAATTGTCCCAGCCTTTATATGTGAGGAATTTAAACTAATACCTTCAACACATCCTTCAGACCTCTACCACCAAGTTGGAACACTTTTACCAAATCATACAGTTCTTCTCATGTCAGGGTATGGCTCTCAATTTCATAATAAAGGATCTTGACTTATAAGCAGTGACACACCTTAGATGTGTTTGATCTTAGATATCAAGTTTGAGCTTGGCTTTTTTACTATAAATCTAGTGAGGTAATTAACAGGAAAAAGCCACATTGTATTCTTCTATATCAACAACATCAATAAGACCCCCAAGCCTATATAAAAGATCCCAGTAAAGGCCCCTGGATAGTTCACGGAGAGGTTAGATGTCCATAAAGGTGGCAAGCAGGCTATTTGATTTGGTACGGGTCAAGTCCATTTGAATCAAATCATTCTCAGGTAAGACGTCTATCGTATTGGGGATGAGTCTCTGATGCTAATTAAATTATTATCATTAACAGATCAATGACAGCTTTATTCGTTCGCGGACTGATTCAGGTCATCCAATTTTGGATATAGGTTGAGACAGCCTGTACTAGGTAGACAACCTATTCCTCGCATAACAAAGAGGTTTCCATAAGACCTAGATTTTAAATGCTATATTGTTCTGGTCCATCATAACCCAAAACCAACCGATAAGGAATCTTCAGGTTCACAGCAAATAAATTAAAACTTAGTACTTTTTCTAAAGTACATAAATCCCATAAAATGAGCAACAAACAGTTTCAGCTTTCTACAACCAAAATACATACACTTTAGGAAAAACATAAATAGGTTACCTCACAGCCCTTTTTTATAATGCATGAAAACAGGTATGGTAAACATATTAAAAACTTTAACAGAAAGTCAGAAATGAGAACATCATTTCCATTACTATCAGAAAATATAGGAAACATTTACATCCAGGCTGGATTTGGCAATAAAAGAAAAAACAAGTTAGAGGGCTAATCACACATACATTGCTGCAAATGCATGCTTGCTTCCACAGCAGATCTTTCTTGATGCTTAATTTCCATTTCAGACTCTTGTATCTAAGGAAGAATAGCATGATTAAGATTTTGCAAGAATTGATAACATAAAATACAATAAAACCAGACTGCCTTAAATAGTATGTAACTATGTACTTAAATATATCGCTGCGAAAGAGAAAACATGACACAGCAAGGTCTGGAAAAACAAGCATGCGCTTATTCAGCAAGTTCAAGTTTACTTATAATCTAATTATTATTTTGTTCCATGGTCACATAATCTCATAGATCACTCTTCATTAAAGAGATTAGATCAAAAAGAAACACAATCATGGTTAAATTAGAGATTTCGAACTGAACACTTTATTAGAAACAAAAATTAGGAATGTCATTCGAAAGAACTAAATTTGCACAGAACTTATTAACAAAGATAGAGAAGCCAGCATTCAGAGGAAAGTTCAACTCATCACAGCAATCTCATAGATCACTCTTCATTAAAGAGATTAGATCAAAAAGAAAGATGATCATGTTTGAATTAGAGATTTAGAACTGAACACTTTATTAGAAACAAGAATTAGGAATGTCATTCGAAACAACTAAATTTGCACAGAACTTATTAACAAAGATAGAGAAGCCAGCACTCAAAGGAAAGTTCAACTCATCACAGCAATCACACTTTAGCTTACAAATTTTAGCTTTTAAATCAATAACTATATACTAAAAGACACACCAGCAATGACACGTGTCATCTCCAGGTGTGTCCTTAGGTTTTTATTTTATTTTTTTGTAAGAAAATTCTATTTAAGAAACAAATATTTTACATATATATAATGATAATAATTACTTATAGATAGAGTATAAGAGAAGATTTGATAATGTCTTTCCCAAATATTCTTAACATAATTTGTGACATACGGAGTTTTTTGAGTAAGACACAAGATTAAATATTTTTTTCTTGATTTTTTTTTTAATATGTAAACAATAAAAAGCAAATCTATTTTTTTTCGAAGAAACGTTCGGGATTTTATAAAATCAAAGCAAATCGGCTTCCGCCAAAGCAATGATGCGAATATCAGATCAACAAATGATATTTTTGTTATTTCATTGAATAATTTATGATTAGAATTTTAATCAATCAATAATCTATAATTAACTATGGATACTTCAACAATACTGCCAAGAACGACACATGATTATTCTTAGTGTGATTTTTTTCTACCATTTTGGTTGTTCTTTAGTGTTATGTTCGGGTCGGGTCATCTCAAATCGGGTCATGTTCAAGTTCGGGTCACGAAGCCTAAGGTTAACTTGGGTCTCGGGTTGGTTTCAGCTCAATTCATATAAGGTTCGAGTCACCAATTTCTCAGGTTCAAACAGGTCAGGTCATTGGTAAGATTTTCGAGTCGGTTTAGCTTTTGACAACTCTAGATATGAATACAACATAAATTATTTGAAATATTTAATACAGTATTAATTTAAAAAATACTTATTGAAAATTACGTGCATGGCACGGGACCTAACCTAGTTACTAATATAAATAAGGAGCTCATTCCCAAATCATAGATTTTATGTGCATGGGTACATATGTAACAGACAGGTACATATGGGTACTTAGGTAGATTCAACATCCAGGTAACTAAGAAATAAAAAACACCGATAGGATGAGACCTAAGAAATACTACACAGACAGAAAAGTAAAAGACTAAAAATAAAAGGAAAGCAAGAGAACACCCAAGATGCACAAATACTAAATATTAACTGAGATAGCACTGCATTGTTAATTTGTGAGTAACCTTATCAAAACATAGATATGAGAATCACAGTAAAGAAAAACAGATTGGCTACTTAGATATTTGTATTTTATTGGACACTCACAAGTACAGAAATGCCAATTATAATATTTATTGTTCTCTATATTTCTATCAGTAATTAACAAGGACTATTATAATAAATTAATTATGGTTCACGCCAGAACACTGAAGCAAAATACTAGGCTCCCAAATTTACTTTCCTGGACTGCAGGACCCTTTTGCCAAAACCATCAGGCAAAGACATGTCTACTTAAATATTCAAATCAAAGTACAAGAAGGGCACGAGTCTATCTAATCAGATATTATAAATACATTGTTAAACTTGATTGAACATAATTCAAGAATAACTACCTTTACATCAATTTCAAATGCAGAGAGGCGTATCTCAGCAAGACTCCATTTGTGTAAAAGAGCCTCCATAAGTGAATTCTGAAAAGTGGTAAGAGAAAACAGAGAAATTAAATATAAATAAAAAAAGCTCGAGGTCCATGATACTAAACGTCTAAATCAACAAAAGAGAGCTTCACCTTAATCTCCATAGCGTTATGAAACCGCTGGATATTCAAATTTACAGCTTGATCAGAAAGGTTGGCAATCTGACTATCAATATCCCCCTCCTTCTCAATGTTGTTCAAAATACACCTCTTCTGACCTAGACCACAATTTATCATAAAAAAAGCTATATAATACACGTTGAATGCCAGACAAGGTCTTGAAGCAAATATAATTAAGGAATGCTTACTAATGCGGTTTTCCAGCGACTTCCTCCTTCTTTTCTCAATATTTACCCTCTCTGTTACTTCCTCCTGCAAAGGATCCTAGGTAAGACTTAATACTCCTCAGAAAAAGAGAAAACACTGGATAATTTCCGATTTGTTCAAGCATAACAGCTATACCCGCTGTTTGTAATATTTAGAAGCTTCGTTTTCGATCTGGCTTAGCTCAAACTGCAGAGATTTAGATTGGCTGTCGTATTCATTGATTGTCTGTTCAAGCTCAATTATCTTGGACCTAAGACTCAAAATTTCTGAATTATCTGAACCTGCAAGCATGATTTAATGTAGTCTAAGTAATCTGAAGTTCTGAACCATCGAACGCATGATAAGCATTCAAAAGCATAAACTTACCGCATGAAAGAAGTTTAGATCTTGAAACCGGCATCACACTAGCAGACACATAATCACTATATCTAGATCTGGACCAGATATAGTGGTTAAGCGGGGTCCAAAAATCCATTATTTTCAGCTTTTCAACCTCATCTGCCCTTCGATCAGTTTCCACAGTACCAATGTACTGGAAAATTGTGAAGGATGTTAAGGAATTGAATTGGAAGTACCAATAACACGCCAAAATGATGCTAAAATCGAAATTATAAAAAAATAACATCCTATGCTTAGGTCGCAAAAAAAGGTCAATCATGAGGGGCAGCAAGCATACTGAGTTATCAAGGTTAGATTGACTAATCAAAACCTCCTTGACAGCAGCTGGAGCATCAAAAATTTGATCAAGCCTAGCATGTATCCCAAGCTTACGCATCTGCCAAATCATAAGAAAACTATAAAGAGGTAGAAACTCTAGCATCTCAGGTAGAAAAAAACTACGGCCTTCAAAGCACATACCTCTTCAGATATTCGAGAGGGATCTCTACTTCGTCCTTCAGTTGGAACATAATTTAGAATTGGGACATCAAATGATTTCATGTGTTTCACCAAAACGTCCCGATCACTAGGATCTTGAGTGATGAAGGACTTAGAATGTCAAAGCAAAAGGAAAAAAAGATTAGGTGTTTACACTTTTTCTGAAAAAAAAGAGGTTGGAAAGCAAGAATACTCAAGTAAACTAGTGCTGAAGCAGACAAATGCAAAGATAACAAATTAGCTAATCTGTGATATTTTGCACTGTCTAGTTCTAGATAGGAAAATACATGGATGGACTGCAAAGATAATCTACAGCAAGTCAAAGAACGGATCACACTGTAGAATGTGCAAGATATTCAAATTAAAAAATTGAACTACAAGCATATACCTCCATGTGCTTAAGCATAAGAAAATTGAGCTTGTTAATGTGTGTGTGTGTGTGTGTGTGTGTGTGTGTGTGTGTGTGTGAGAGAGAGAGAGAGAGAGAGAAGAGAGAGAGAGAGATTAAAAATGTTTTATAAGAAACCACTCATAAATATGAGGACAGTAAATATCAAAAACATTATATATTACCAGTAAAACAGAAAGATCAATTAATCATGTAGTAAAAATAGAACAAAGAAAATATATGATTACAAGGCAGCATATCTTCTAACAGAAGAAGGAAAATTTTTCACTAATTCTGATCAAGATATTAATGAACACCAGCTAGCTAGTTTTGTGCATCCGTTGAAACAAACTTTGAGTTCTATTCTACCCTAGAGCACTGAATACATGCAGAGAAAGCATTCAACAAGAGCAATTTTCCAAAGTACTAAACTGTGTCCAAACCAATACTAGAACATTCTAAAATTACTCGAAAAAACTTTTCCTTCTTCCCCAGCTTCCCTTCACTTCTCAAGTTCTCATTATAAACATTAAATTTTATCATGGTGTCAGATCTGAACTTTTTGTGTGGATTCCTTTGTTACCATCGAACCCAGAGCCATGACCTCCAACAACAACAACAAAGCCTTACTCCCAATATGACGTGGATCGGCTAACATGAATCGTCATATGAAGATGTCCGTAAAGAAAGTAGAGCATAGCAACATAAATAATTGAAAATGAGACAAAAGTGTGAAACAGAAAAGTTTTAAAAGAGTCGTAAAGGGGTTATAAAATAAAAAAGAAAGAAAGAAAATCATGTGAATACAATACATAAAGCTTTGAGAGTACCTTAGAAAATGAAATAAGTAGAGTTTGAAAACACGAGTTGAACAAATAATAAAAGTAATATCGATAAGGATATGGTCTTTATTGATTTAGAGAAGGCATATGACAAGGTGCCAAGAGAGGTACTTTGGTGGGCAATGTTGAAGAAAGGTATCCCACGAAGATACGTGGACTTGTTTAGGATATGTACCGGGATGTGTCAACAAATGTAAGGACATGTGGAGGGTTGACAAAATATTTTCCTATTACAATTGAATTGCATCAAGGGTCTGCATTAAGCCCTTTTCTTTTTGCAACGGTTCTAAATGAAGTAACTAGACCAATTCAAGATGAGGTTCCAAATGTATGCTGTTTGTGAATGATATCATTTTCGGTGGGATGAAACTAAAGATGGGGATAATGTCAAATTGGAGCAATGGAGGCAAAGGTTGGAATCTAGAGGGTTCAAGCTAAGTCGGGGTAAGTCGGAGTAAGACTGAATATTTGGTATGTCGATTTGCTTCTGATGGGGACAAGTGACGACATGGTGAGTTTGGATGGAAAGGACTTGACCATGAGTGAATGTTTTAAATATCAAAACATGGCCCATAGGATTAAGTTGGGGTGGCTTAAATGGAGAACGGCCACAAAGTGTTATGTCTCTTACAGGTGAAGGGGAAATTCTACAAGACTGCCATAAGACCAATATTACTCTATGGTACAACAAAGTGTTGGGCTTCTAAGAAAGAGCATATTAAAAAGATGGAGGTTAAGGAAATAGTTAAGGTGGATGCGTGGGAACACTCTAATAGATGGAATCAGAAATGAGGTTATTTGTAGGGAAAATCACAAACGTTGGTTTGGGTATGTAAAACGGAAACCCGAGGGTGCACCGGTAAGAAGAGTGGAAGCGTGGGACCATGGAGGGGTTAAACGAGGGAGAAGGAGAACGAAAATGACTTGGTTGGAAATATATATATAAATTTTCTCTCTCCACCCAGCTGTATCCAACCCTATATTTTCCTCAATCCTCAACGCACTTATATCACTCTCAATCACCCTCTTCCAAATGTTCTTAGATATGCCTCTACCTCTCACGATCCCACTTTTCAGGTCTCCTTACTAGAGCCTCACTTGGTCACCTTTTTACAAGAACAAACCATCTTAAGCAACAATTCTTCCTCATCTTGTATTCAATGGATGTAACCCCTACTTTCTTCCTAATTATCTCATTCCTCAACCAATCCTATCTTTTATGGCCACACATCCATCACAACATACACATCTCTACCACATTCATCTTATGCACGTGCAATCGTACAAAGGAGGCAATAGAAAGAAAAAAATATTTTTTTTCCTCCTAACAAATAATTATCAACATTTTCCCCAAACTCATTTCAACATTTTCTTATTTTGAGGGCAATGAGACTAAACATACCTTCCATATGTAATATGGAACTTGGCCTTCCAAGTAATCAGCATGAGATTGATCCTTGACAGTAACCTAAAATCACAAAGCATAGATGAAAATTACTTTCAAAGTATCATCATCCAAAATGTATTATCCATGTATAACTCAAGCATCATTTCCTTGCATTATATCTGTAACTTGCTGCTAATTGCATTCAAATAAAAGTAACAAAGGTATAACTAGTGAGACTTGAGAGCCAATGATCTCCAAGACAACCAATGTTGACTCTCTTCAGACTCGTCTACCCAAACGATGAGAAACTTCAGAAGTTCAGATAGATAAACAAAGAAAATCACATCATCTGGAAAATCTTAAACAGACTTGAAGGAGAACGAAAAAAAAAAAAAAAACACATGTGGCAAAAGTCTCTAAAATGCATAATTCCTGATTAGAAGCTTGAATGTATACACACAATGCTTCATCACCAGGCTTTGCTTTAATACTCTGTCCAAATGAATAATATTAAACTAAGGGTGTGTTCTATTCACCTGATTTTCACTGATATGAACTTATCTTAACATATCTGGACTTAACTGAATTTATTAGACCTTATTAAAACTTATTTTAGTTGTAATTTGGGTAACCAACTGAACTTATCTGAACTTATTAAACCTGAAATAAGTGAAAATAAGGTGAATAGAACAGACCCTAACTTATCCTCAAATGATGTTTAAAGTTAAATCATTTCTTTTGGGGTAGTTATATGTCACATGATCAACTTAATATATAAGAGGCAGGTCAAACAGTCAATCTAAGAAAAGTATCTTTGTGCATGCCAACAAGTTCTGAACTGCATTGCTCCACAGATAGAGGCATGCCATAAAAAATGAGGCTGTAAAGCCCCCAATGAAGGGCCTATTTCTTTAAAATGATCTTTAGCAATTTCCAATAAGTTAAAGCTTTGGCTATTAGATAGTGTTAGTCCAAATAATAAAGCCCCTAAGTTCAACATGTTGAGCAATATCAGAAGCACTCATTTACAGAAATTTTGAAGATGCAAGCTTGCTAGCAGGGATAATTCATAATCTTGCAATGAGGCCCAGCAATGCATATATACCTCAAGCAGAACAGGTCCATAAACCTCTCTCTTCAGTTGATCACGATGTTCTTGCAACCAACGATGAGCTTCATAAATCCTGTCTGCTCCACTATTTTTCAGCTGATTCAGGAGCTTGTAATTTCTATTTTCCATATCTTTTAACCTGCAACCATTCTGTGTCTGAGAATGAAATGCAACAGAATCAAATCCAAATGCATGTATAGCAATATATACCTGTCAACCAACTGTGCCCGTTTTTGTTTGTGTCCAGACAAAATTTTATCAGTATCAGTCTTTTGCTGCCTAATCTCCCTTGCACTGTCTTCGAATTCTACAATTTTGGCCTCCAACCTTTCCTGAATTATAGCAAGAACTAAAATATTACAAATATCCTAAAAAAAAGGTTGCTAAGAAAGGAAGAGAAAGAAGAATAAAGAATGAATGAAAACATAATAAATATACACTCATCCATACAATAAGAGTTACACAAAAAGAGACAAACAGATTATCTAAAGAAAATCACTATAGAATGATACCAAAAAGGTCAAATTTAAATTAATACTATCATATAGAAGGTTTGGGAAGGCTTGAATGCAATATAATTGAGACTTATATAGCATATTGCATATAAGAAAGCAGCTAAAAAAAACTGCATAACATACAAACTCATCCTTTGGAAGTTTGTAAGGTGGCAAGTTTGCCAGTTCCAGTTCAGCAGCTGCAAGCTCCTCTTTAGCTTCCGACATTCTTAGTTGACGTGATTCTTCATCCCTCTTCAATTTTTCCATGCCCTTGTACATTCCAGATACTCTGACTCCCTAGAATTGTCCAAAATAAATATTGAGAAAGATAGGACATTAATGAAGTACCAAATGGCAAGAAAGATAGGAAAGAAACACAACCCACTGAATTTCATTCTCCTGAAGTTTCTTGCACCTTTGGGCCTTCTTACTCGAAATATTCTCCAATTTTTTCCACTTTGAGTCTTGCAGTGCTTTTTCCTCCTGCTGCTTTCTGAAATGATTATAATTGCCAATTAAGAGGTGAGCTGTTAAATAATTGGGAAAGAAGCTAAAACTTTCAAATATGTTGGATACTGTCAAGTATCAATTTCAAAGCACTACGATACAATTAGCACTCATTGATATCAAATATATTAGACTGTATGATATCTCCAAATACCTCACCAAGACAATTCAAGAGATATGAAAACCCATATGACCTTCAATGCATAATCCATGTAGCTTTAACATGTTTTGCAAATTTCAATATCCATATTTTCTATTAACCACAACTCCCCATATACACTAGTATATATATCTTTTTTAATGAAGCAGCAAAATTTTATATATGAACAGCAAGATGATAGTAGATATAACACCTAATCATAACCTGATAATAACATACAAGCATAGACAGGGAAAATTCCTTGATGTAAAGAGTAATTTATGCCAGAAAATTATTTCAAACCTGAATCCACAAAGGCCTAGAAAATTAACAGTCACATTAAATTTCATATGTTACAGCTCACATTACAACACTTTTCATAATTGCAAAGTTGATGACCTTTATGAACTGTTTAACATACTTCTGCATAACAAGGTAAACTAGGTAGGGTTACATGCTTTGGCAAATATGGTAAATTTTCCCAGATTTTTGCAACCAATTAACATAATTCTGAGGGTAAAAATGGTAAAAGTCTATCAGAATACTCCTGCATATTTAATAATTTTCCAGCATTTATTGTATCTGAAGGTCAAAGAAATTAGAAATTCTCAAAATATAGAATGATCAGTAAATCCCAGAGAGAAATGGGTGAAAGAACAAAAGGATTAGGGCTAGGCTATCTTCAATAAGGCCAATAACTAAGTAGAGCATAAACAAATAGAGGTAGAAAAAGTTTCTAGATTCATTCTATGGTGATTTATTATAAGAAATTAATTTGCATATCTGCAATAAGGCCAATAACTAAGTAGAGCATAAACAAATAGAGGTAGTAAAAGTTTCTAGATTCACAAACTTAGACCATAGACACAATGCTAAAGTATGCAAGCACTGGGAGAAACAACTGTGCATATCGTAAGCCATAGTGCCTTCTATATTACATAGAAACCTTGGCATGCAATCTTTCATATAGAATATTTCAATATCATACTTGGGCATTAAGATGATTTGGAATTTTGGATGGATGAGTTAAAATTATTTTCAACATAATAATGTATTACACTAGCGCATATACTTCCAATTTTATTCAATAATGTAGTGATGTTATTACTTAGTCATTGTTTAAAAATTGCAAAAGAATCTTAAAACCAATACAAGACTGTTCTAGTAATTTGTAGACTATAACACAAGAAAACATTCAAAAGCATATATTGAGTCATAAGACTCAAAATTACTAAGATCAAACCAATAATTATTTCAGAAATACTAAACAATAATAATTCTATTTTTTTTAGTGCCCCGTTAAAACATGCCGATGCAAAATTTTGACCAATCATATCTTTAATTATAAATAAATTACAACAATAGAATATAAATAATTTATTCATTGAGACGATTCCAACAAGTGCTCACAAGACTATATTTTTTCTAATGTATAATTCACAAACATTAATCAAACTGGGTCAAGTAAATAGTGCAAAAAGTTCCAATGGAGCACTTTAATAAAAAAAAAAAAAAAAAAAAAAAAAAAAAAAAAAAAAAAAACAGAGGGAGTACCACTCAAAGGCATGAATAACATGGGCAGCAACTCAACATGAGCCCACCCCACAAGGTACATGAGCTAGGTTGGTGTCTGGTCGAGTATTGACCAAGATGTATGCATAGTAAGAAGTCAATGGGTACATTAGTGTAAAAACTTAAGTGACAATCAAATAAAAAATATTAAGACTAGAAAAATCACTTAATAGGTTGTTGGAGATCATTCAAGATCTTTGCAGCTTCATCATATTTCTTATTAGCATCATCAACCTGCTTTTTAGCTTCAAGATATTCAGCCTTGTTAAGATCATACTTCAACCAAGGTAATTTTTTCTTCAACAAATCAACCTACAAGCAATTTAAGAAAAAAGCCATTATAGAAAGGATACCAAAAGGTAAACAATGTCTTCCTGGCCCTAAATACAATTCAGAAAATGTGAACCTGAGCTAGAAGGTCTTGTCTCTGACGAACACGTTCAACATCTCTTTCTTGTTCAGCATGTTGAGCCTTAAGTTGGTTTAATGTCACTTTATTCCCATCAACAGCCTATAACAGAATAAATGGTTGTTGAACAAATGACAACACTATAAGAGATTATCATCTCCAGTAAATTAGACCAAAGACTTACTCTTTGGAGTCTTCCCAGCTGACTACTTTTTTCTATAAGAGCATCATGTTGCATTGCTAGTTGAGGATCACCAATAGCATTTTCTGTTGCACGTAACAGGTCAACAGGACTTAACTTGGCAAACTCACAGACTTTGTCTTGTGGTAGAAACTGTGAAGCCCACCAACATGACAACACCAAAAAAAGGGGGGGTTAGATGCAACAACAGTTAAAAACAGACAAGCAGAAGAGGGAAACAAAGTAAAAGAATATGCATAACAGTTGGTGAAAAGGTGAGGAGGATAGATTAGTCTTGTATTGACCTCAAGTCAAAAGTTAACACCAGGGACAGCCAGAAAACCAATAATCACATGCTTCTAGATGTTTATATAATTGACTATTTCTGACTCAATGTTTCCATTATATGCCTCACACCAAAGGTGGCCTTTTAGCTCGCTTCGCGCCTCACATAGCAATTTTTAATACAAAATCCAACAACAAACTAGCATAATGCCCATTGTTGGGGAGGTCCGACTCATCTGAGGAGACAAGATGCATGTGACCCTATCACCAACCAATCAGGCCTAGTAAAGGGGCCAATTTCTAGTTGATTGTCACTAAAAAAATTAAAAATTAAACTCATTGTAGTTCAAAAGCAAAGGCCATATATCTGCTACCACTAGAATGTGAACCATGAAGTGAGAGCAAGGTAAAAGGACGTCTTTCAAAATCAATGAATATAAGTTGTTTCTGAGGATGAATCAGAAATGTGTGTCATTTTCTTCATCAGCACTTAGCATATTGTGCATAATGAAAACAGGAGCTAGATTCCAGGAAGCCTAACCCTAACTTAACATTTTGATAGGTATTTACAGTTATATTAGGACACCAATCCACCAAGGGGGTTTCTACAATTTACTAAAAGAAGGCCAGTAACTTAACATATGGACAAAACAACAAAGGGAAAGTCAAAGCCCAAAACACATGGACAAGTGCATGATCATATACTCCTGCAGGGACAAGGCTTTCCCCTTAAGATCTGCTGAAACCTCTCCCTACAAGTACATCAACAAATCTGAATTTCATGAGAGTGTGAAACAAGGACTGGCCAATGAAGTCATCAGCAGAAATGAGGACATGTACAAGCACTAGGGAAATGCTGGTAGAAGTGGAAAGGAAATAACTATAGATGAACTTGTCTGCTAGGATGTTTTTGACAAAAAAGAAATTTTCAACATAACTAGATTTTATAAATCTCCAAGCATCAAAAATAAGCACGTAGATTACTCTAAAATGAAGACACACCTGAGTCAAATTATTAACTTGGATATTGAACTTTTGAACAACTTCAATAACATCTTTCTTTGCTGCCATGTTGCCTACAACCAAAACAAATTGCATCAGCATTCACAGTTAATTCCCATCAGTTCATAGACACAAAACAGAAATTCCATTTTCTCAGTTGCTCTCTGCATAGAAAATGATAAAAACATATTTGGGGAAAAAAAATATAAAAAATCACTTTCTGCATTTCTAGGGTACGTGTAGCCTATTCTTTAGGACTAAGGCTCTTAATGTTGCTTTTGTTGCTGTAGGGATGAACCAAAAAAAACAGCGAATTCTATTTGTGTACAGCTTTTTTGATTGAATCTCTTCTTAATAAGAAGCACAGCTTACATGAGGCACTGTAAGCTCAAGCCAAAAATATCAAGCAATAAAATAAATGCACAAAACTAATACTTATCAAGTTTATCTTGCCAAATATCATCCAAGCACGTTCCCAAAAGCTAAAAGCATGGATAAACTAAATAAAATAATGATTGTAGGATGACACATGAATACTAAGGAAAGACCGGGAAAAATATTGAGGAATCTTTTAAATCTGTTGCCCTTGAAGGACCTTATATTTCAAAAGGCCAGAAGCCGAGAAGCCCCTACTATAAAATCAGGACAACACTCAGAGAAGAGAAAGAAAGCTGATGCCAGCCAGTAATCAGAAAAGCATCGCTTGCAAAAGTAAACTTTTAAAGGAACTACTTTGCCTTCTACTATACAGATCTAACAAGTTGCAACAAGTAGAAGCAGACACTTGCATGGATGAGATCCTTATTTCTCAAGTCACTACTTTGTTGGGCATAGGGAATTATGGCGAAAATTCTTCATAGGTTATGTAACTAAATTCAAACAGGGAAAAGCAAGCAATTACCTAGAAAAATAGCCAAACCTGGCCTTTAGTTTTGGAGCTGTAATTATTGTTAATCTTCCCTAGATTCCATCACTTTAAGATAAAACCCTTGCCTTCCAAATGAAGTTTGCAACAAGAACAGGGTACAGGGAACTCAAAGAGTCAAATCAAACAGCTTGGAGAAATTTAAAAAGAAAAAGACCCTGACAAATATGTACTCTTTGTTTGCTGTTAAAATTATTTTATGTCATTTTCTTGTGACAAACATGCTTCATACCAGGTTTGTTTTGCAACAACCCCAGGGAATAAACTTCCTTTACAGCATGAATGCATGATAAGGGAAAATCTGGAAAATGGGTAGTTTTATTTCCATAAATGGAAGAAAAGACAATGCCTTTTCATACTACAGCAACAGGACAACAAGAATCTCATGAAAAGTAGGGCTTTAAAGTCTAGATAGTAGATATACCACTGCCTTATTGCCATGAGCTACGAGAGAAAACATATACAAAGCAGTCACCGAGGATTTGGGGGGTGATAATCAAGCCAAAATAATACTCCGTAGTAAATGCAAAGAATGCCCGTGAAACATATTTTAAACTAACATAAAAAAATTAAAAAAAAAAAAAAAAAAAAAACTAATTTTCCTAATATCAACAATCAACTCAAGCATTTAAAGCATCGCCTTACCATTCAACAGCCACTCAGACTTGTTGCTTGTGTCAATTTTACGAGTGATTACTATCCGCTCCTCCCTAGACTCGCCTCTCAAAGTGATCTTGATGTATCCAGATTCCTCTCCCCGCTTTACATATGCTCCAACACTTCCCGCTCTCCCAAGTAACTACAAAAACATACTTCCCTTAAAATGTGGTCTAATATTTAGGGACGGGGTTGAGTATTGTACACGGACAAATTACAAATATGAGTATTAACATTAAAGCAGAAAAGAGAAAAATTCTTGTACAATTGGTTCAGATGAACAAACCTGAGGATCACCACCAAGACCAAGTGCAATAGCACACACAATTGAGCTTTTACCGGACCCATTCGGACCGATCACTAGGTTTAAACGCGAATAAGGCGTACAAGTCACGTCCTCAAATGTCATAAAATTATGAAGCTCAATCTTAGTAATATTTCCAGGCAAATAATCATCTTCCCCTCTGAAAATTTAATAAATTTGAAAATTTGAAATCAAATAATAAACCTTCAAAATTATGACTCAATGATGTGAATTATGACAGCAAATACGCTTGAAAAATCAAAATGCTGGAATTAGAAACTCAGAAACCCTAGAATTATGCTAAATGAACAAATTATTGAACAAAAAAAGGCAAAATTTAGAAGGATAAGAGAACAAACCTAACGATTTTGGGGCGTTTAGCACGTCGTTCAGACATTGAAGACGACAATTGAAGGCTCTGAACTCCGATTGAAAACCCTCACAGAGGTTAATTGGTGGAATTCATGGAAAGTTTGGAGATACAAGTATAATTTAGGGGTTTGGTTAAATAAAATGGGGAAGTGTGAGAGAGGAGAGAGGAGAGAGAAAGAGAGTGGGCCTACTTTGAAGGGAAACTGTAGAAATGGCGCCAAAATCATAGGTCTAACTTTCGTATCCACTACGGTTTGGTGTGCCGTTTGCTTCAGCGGTTGTACGCTTGTACCCTTGTACGGTTGTACTACTAGTCTAATGGAGGAATTTTTTTTTTTTTTGGAAAAATTGTAAGGAAAGTTCTTTTAAGTGATCGACCTTGTGAGAGAAAGTCTTTTTTTAAAAAAAAATGGCATAGAAGGCCATTTTATGGCGTTTTGGTTGTGAGGAGGGTCTTTTGACCAAACTCCAGCGTTAACTTTGATATTCCGGCTATAAAATGTCACGTGCCGGGCATGTGACCTCTTAAATCAAATTTTTTTTATAGCGGGAATATCAAGGTCAACGCCGGAATTTGGTCAAGGACCCTCCTCACAACTAAACGCCATAAAAGGACCTTCTATGCCACCTTTTTTTTAAAAGGATCTTTCTCACAAGATCGACCACTTAAAAGGACCTTCCTTGCAATTTATCCTTCTTTTTTTTTTGTAGTAAGAGAAAGTGTACATACAAGAAACTTGTAATATCTTAAGGATTAAGATTTGAAAATTTTGTACTCGTCAAAAAAAAAATTGAAAATTTTGTAAACAACCATCCTAAAAGTAATCGTTATTAAACTTATCACCCCCTTTTGTTTGAATTTATAAAATAATTACCCATTATAGACAAATTCAGAAGGTTTTATCACCCTTTTCCTATTTTGGCCAGTTTTCCGACTTGAGAGATCCACATAATAGCAGCGATGGGCATTGGTGTTGGAGTAGGTGTAGCGGTAGAGGCGGAGGGAGGGACGACAATGTTGGAGGCTTAAGGACTTACAATTGCCATGGTGGAGGAGGAGAATCGTGGTGGTATATTTTTTTTTTTTTTTAAGTAGAATGATGGTGGTACTCAAAACTTGATTCTCGTTGTTTTTACTAAAACAAACAACCTATGTCTTTTTCTTTCCTCTATACCAAGTACCAACCAAACAGTCCTTAAGACTAGGAATCCCCTTTGGGCCTTGATATTCTTGTGATAAGAAGTTAAGGTGAGACTTACCTCTAAAGTATTACCCTTAAAAATAAATAAATAAATAAAAACATCATTAGTTTCATATTATATACTAAGTACTCCGTATAGCATTTATTAAAAACGGTTGACTTACATTATGTACAACAAATGTTTTCTTTCCTTTTTAAGTAGTCATTTGACTCATTTCTCTCTATCTCTCTCTTTCTCTCTCCTCATCACATACATCTATATTTTTATTTATCTCTCCATTTAATACTCATAAATAAATTTTCGTATAAGAATCTATGTCAGGGTCTTTATTGCACAAAAAAAAATTAAGAGCGAAGGTATATATCCCTATAATCTTCTTTCTCGTCCCTATCTACTTTTTATAAATGTCTTAAAGCAATGAACTAGTACAACTATACCTTGTTTTCATGATCATTGAAAAAGAAAAAGAATGGAGTTTGTAGGAGGAGAGAGAAGAAGAATGGCCGGGATACCAAGCAGAGCATCATTGTTTTCAGCATTTGCTTTGCTGAGTGCAACCTTCACTTTGCTTTAACAAGCCTTTTATCAGTTATTTCCACCAGTTGTACGACAATATGTCTCTGACATTTTCAAACAATGGTTCACACGACATACACTTCCTCGTTCTCCAGATGTTTTTAAACTCATCATTGAAGAAGTTGGTAACGATTCCACTAATAACCAAAATTTTCAAGCTTGTCAAATCTACCTTTGCAACAAGCTTAGCGACTCTGCCAGTGTGCTTAACGTACTTTTATATTTTTTTATTTTGTGTTTTTATAGGGGAAAATAATTTCATATAATTACTCATACAACATCTAGGCCTCGTTTAGTTGATATGAAATAAATTTCCATGGAAATATCTAATTTATAAGAAATAACTTCCTCTATAAAAATTCCTAGAGATTAAACAAATGTGTTTGGTTGTCATGTGAGAATTTGAAAATTATAAGAATTGTGAATAACCAAGGGTGGAAAGGGTAGGTAAATTCCCATGTTTTGTGGGAAGTTGAAATTCTCATGAATTGTGACTTCCTCTATTCTTGTTTTTAGAAATATTTATATTTTATGTATCGGTAAAATTTATGTCAAAGTAAGCATATGAATTGTAACACCCCCAATTTACTAGCTAATAATAAATAATAAATAAAGGAAAAATAAACATCTGAATAAAAACTGCGGAAGCATACACCTAAATCGGAGGTATTACCGCCACACTCAACAACTTGTCAAGTGCTAAGGCTTACAAAATCCCAATAATTACAACCCAATAAACTAGGTGAGCTATTTATACAACTTTCCAAACTTGTTATAATATACTAATCGAAAACGCTTGACCTCCTTTAGTTACGATCACTTGATCAACCTGTTTAGACACACTTGACTGCTCACCATTAAGGGCAAATTTCAAAATAGATCGTCACAGGGCCACCATAAGAAAAAGATATGGCCGCAAACACAAGTAGCACAACAAAACAACACACACGTTAGCAAAAAGCTGAGTAATCACCACTGATCAAATTGCAAAGAACAATAAAATAATTAATATAATTAACTCACTTAAACAATGTAGTTCTAAACTACATTACACATATACACCTCAAGGGTAAAATAACTCCGTACTCTGAAAATAACTTTGTCAAACTCAACCTCAAATAATAATAAAATCCTTTACTCAATTAACTCATTTATCCCATAAGTGTGCCACGCTCTTTGTCTTATACCTAGCCTTGGACATGAGTAATTCGAATAAATAAACTAACAAGTATGAAAACTTGAATACTCTCAATAACCAGAAAACACCTTAAACCATGACCAATATGGGTCAAATCCCACTGTAGGGGACCATGAAAAAGATTGTACCTCATTCTTAACTCATGATCATTATCTCCTTACCAACATGCCAAGGACTAAGGTAATTAACATCGAGCCTCAAACCAAGAACAAAATAATAATTCTCAACCTTTTGATCTCATACTTGATCAAATAATCATTCACTGATTTAATAAACAATATCTCAATAATGGCACAGGTTCCCAAATATTATAAAAATTCGAACTCGATTCAATCATAGTATATCTCAACTCTTATAGGGCAATAAAACTAATACCCAAATATAATTAACTCACAACCCAAAAACAATACTCTGCATTAATAACCCTAAACCTCAATAAAACAATACTCCCTATAGCAACAACATTAAAAACCTAGAAATAATAACACAATCAATCAATACAACAATTAAATCACATATATATAAATCGATCTTATAAATAACAAATTATACAATTTTACACACAATAATACGAAATACAATCAATACTAACAATCTATAATCAAACAACTCCAAGAATTAAAATTGTGTGATTACATAAAATAAATAATACAATCAAATTATCATCAAACAATTCCGAAAGATTGATAGTGTGATTACATATAATAAACAATACAATCAAATTATAATCAAACAACACCAAAAGATTGATAGTGTGATTACATATAATAAACAATACAATCAAATTATAATCAAACAACACCAAAAGATTGATAGTGTGATTACATATAATAAATAATACAATCAAATTATAATTAAACAACACCAAAAGATTGATAGTGTGATTACCTTTCGACTAGTTACAAATCTTACAATCGAACCACAACATTCAAGACAAGGTATACGATCAACATTGTGATTTGCGGGCTTACAAACGTATTTTGGGAATGTGGGTTTCAATTCCATGATGATGGAGTTTGGAAAATAAAGTATTAACATGGAGATTGGAAAAGGAAAGACAAACTTTTAAAAGAATCAAATTTGGGGTTGGATTATGGAACTCACACACAAGCAAAATAATACGGCAACCCATTTTATTTTATTTTTTTTTTAAGCAATTGATAACTACATTAGGGTTTAGGATAATTTTATAGGATAACAAAAATAGAGTATAAGATCGAATTTTTAAAATCATTTAAAAATATCTTATTTTAGCCATAAAATAAATCTGATAAAATTTTAAAATATTCGGGTATTACATGAATAGTGCAAAAGTCAAATTGTTGTGACTATTACGACACGTAGGGAGTACATAATTACTTTTATCATTTTTAAATTCTTTTCATAGGCAAAATTACAACCATTAACACCAATTTTTGGGGGATGTTACAATTATTGACATCAACTTGTACCATTAGTTAGATTGACACCAATTTTGATTAAAAAAAATGAATAACATTAATGATGCCTGAGTGGGGTCCACTTGCCAGAAATTTTGCATTTAATGCATTAAAATCGTTTTTAGTATTTTGAAATAGATTATTAAATTAGTAATTAAGTTTAATGTGCTAATTATTGTTTTAAAAAAGCTCCAAATTAAAATAACAAAACCCCAATTAGAATGTGATGCATCTAATAAAAAACGGAGAAAGTATATAATATTCTTGCATATGTTTGATTAGTCTAACGTAATAGTTAGCACATTAGTGTGAGTCCAAGGCTAGAATTGAGGATTTTGTGTTTGGGATACCTTTATATGGTGGTAGGTTAGTTGCAGCTTAACTTTTAAACAAGGTAAGTAATCTAATCTTAGTATTGTTCAATTTTCAATAATCTTTAGGTGAGCAAAGGACACACTGAAGAGATTATGAACTTCAAGCTTGCTGAAAGGGTCACATTCTCTGGAATGGAATTTTAGTAACAAGGCTAATTCCTCGGTTGATGATCATAGTGGTCCTGTTATTGCACATGATAAACGATCACGTAGTCATCAAGAAAAATCCTGCTTCTCGATCTTTGACAGAGAACATGAACAAAAGGTTTTTACTGTTTACTTGCCCTATGTTGTAGAGCCATCAAAAGAAATCATTCGCGAGGAGAAGCACTTGAAATTATTTGATTGTAATTCAGAATATTGTGTTATGCCTGGTGGCTCAAGTATCAAGCAATCAGTCAATATGGTTCATCCCTTTAAGTTTGAGAACTTGGCTATGGATCTTAAGTTGAAGAAGGCAATAATGGATGATTTGGATAGATTTGTGAGGAGAAAGGAGTTTTATAGAAGGGTGGTGAAGCGTTGGAAACGAGGTTACTTACTGTATGGTCCTCCGGGTACTAGCAAGTCGAGTCTAATAGCTGCTATCGCTAACCATCTCAAATTTGACATCTATGATTTGCAACTGAGACAGATTCAAAACACTATCTTGAGACAGTTGTTACGTGTTATACCAAGTCAAACTATTATAGCTGTTGAGGATATCGATTGCACTGGAGAGCTTCCAAGACGAGAATTATACCATCCTATGTATCAAGGCTACGATGACTCTCTGAAGAAGGCCAAGAATAAGACTGATGAGGTTTGTGCTTTCCAGTTTCTCCACCGATATATGATACATCTTACATGGTTTCACCTGGTTGTTGCATTTTCAACTTCGATCTTAATCTATTTATAAACCCTGTGAACTATAAATCATAGTCGATTTGTTAGGATAGTTTCACCCATATGACAAAAAATTAATGTTTTCTGCATACTTGACAATAGACTTTTATGAATTTTTTTACTGCTAACTGCTAAGTTTCTGTATGCCAACATTTATAAAGTCTGAGATTTCCGACATTCTGCTAGCTAGGAACCAATTTTAGCAACCTCTGATTCCTCTTACATTACTAGCGTTTGTATTCTACCTGTCACCTAACCATGTAGATTCTTTCAAATCGCTAACCTTACTGCTGTTTGTTACTGCAAATGTCATTGGTAACATTGCTCAACTTTACTGGTGGATTGTGGTCTTACTGCGGAGATGAGAGGTTGATCATATTTACCACAAATCACAAGGAAAAGCTTGACCCAGCTTTGATACGGCCTGGTCGTATGGATATGCATTCACATGTCCTACCTTACTATGGAGGGCTTCAAAATCTTAACTTATAATTATCTCCTAGTTTCTGGCAGCCATCCGCTGTTTAGAGAGATCCAAGGCCTTTTGGAAGCTGTAAATGCAACTCCTGCTGAAGTTGCTGAGGAACTTATGAGAAGTGAAGATGTTGATGCCTCTCTTCAAGAGTTCATCAAGCTGCTAAAAAGGAAGAAAATCGAAGCAGAGGATGATGCAAGTTTGAGACCTCCGGCTGAAACAAAGGAAATCACAAAGAATATATAAAGTGGGAATGTCTTGCTAATGAGTCTATTTTTTATATATTTTTATTCCCCATTCCACGGTCATATTTGTGCTTATTTGAGCTCTGCGGAGCTATTTTTATTACTAATATACGTTTTCTAGTGTTTTTGTAGAGTTGATATTATTTTGTAGGAATTTGCAAAATTATAATAATTTCCGAGCTTATTGAACCAATGCGAAGACATTAGAGTCGGATCGTACTTTATGACCATATATTTAAAGCCCAAGACCAAGTTAAAGGAAATTGGTTTGGTGATTAAGGGCTCGATACGTGAGGAGGTCCAAGATTTACAAAGTTATTATTATTTCGAACCAAGAAAGGAAATTGGGCCAAAACTAAAATCAATGGCGCAACTTGCTGACCCAAATGAAAAAGCAATCAGCCCCAATTAAGATCTGATGGACGTGAAAAAGCGGGCCCGATCGGGCGAGTGTACGTGTTATTGCTGTTTTAAGTCGGTTTGGGTTTAATCTTTATATACCCAGAATTGTTGGAGACGATGGACGTCATTCAATAGATAGCAACTTTGGGGTCGTTTGGCTCGCACAAGGGAATCAGAATGGAATGTAGAAAGGGAATGGAGGAGAATGGAATGAAACCCTTAGAATTTAGGGTGTTGTTTGGTGAGAATGGAATGAAACCACCATAGAACCACCACAGCACAACCATTGCACGATTTGCACCCCTTCCTTCATTAGTTTCCACCTTCTCCAGCCACTACACCGCCCAACCAACACCACACTGGAACCGACTGTCCCTCCTCCGACCTTTGCCGCCCCTCCCCCGACCTAGTGAGGTCTGTCGAACAACAATCCACACTGGAACCCTTCTCGTCCTCGACCTCAGCAATCCCGACCAAAATGCAGCTATCGAACTTCCCCAACAACATCGAGGATTGGGCCGTAATTCCGACAGTTGTTCGTCGCCCTTCTTCCGACCTGGTGAGGTGCGACCGGTTTTTCCGGTGGAGGGGAGGGTTTTTAAGGGTTACACAAGGGTCAAGAGAAGGGTTTTCGGGTGGGAGGAGAGGCAGCGAAGGGCGACAAGGGTCGGAGGAAGGCCGGCGAGCATCCAACGAGGTGAAGTGAGTTTCGGCGAGATACAGCAAGTTCCGGTGAGGTGCCTCCAGCTGATGGGGTATGGTGGTGGTTGGGGAAAGGGAATGGGAAAGGTAGGGGGGTGGGGAATGAGAGTAGGAGGATAACCCAAAAAAAAAGGGGGAATGAGAATGACAAAAAGGAAAAACCCAAAAATAAAAAGGGGAAATAGAAATGACAAAAAAGGGAAAACAAACACCAATAAAGGTAATCATTTTCATTCCCTTTCCCATTAAACAAACAACCCTTAGTTAATTTCCTTTTAAGCAGCTTTATAATATTCCTTAGGATTTCGCTTTTCGTCAATTTTTGTCTTTTTCTTCGTCAATTTTGTTTTTCGTTAATTAGTGGTAGTAGCTGAATTCTTGTTTTCTGAATTGTGATCATAAGCTTTGGATTATTATTAGTTTTTCCCTACTTTTGTTTTTTGAGTAGCAGCTTTCTTTATTTGATGATTATTGCTTTTCCTTAGATTAAATTAAATTGTTTTCTTTAATCCCATATTATTGTTTTAATTATGTCTTGTTTAATCGCTTTGCTTAGTTTAGTTTTAATTATGTGCGAGTAGTTTAATTCTAGGCTTCTTGGAGGATCCATAATTAATATGAAGGGATAAATTGTTTTGGTTGATTATTGATGTTGCATGATAATTTTTTATTGAATTGTTTTAATTCTTTACAATTGGATTATGAATCAAGTAGATGTGATTTGATTGTAAAAGTATAAGCAATATTGAATTCATGAATCGAGCATATGCTTATTTGATATTAAAGGCTATTTTTAATAGAAACTTAAATCTAGTAAATTGCGAGGGCCTGTTAGATCTATGTTGATTAATAAATTGCGAGAGCCTATTAATCATGTTATATGTGCAATATTAATTGTTGATTATATTGTTATGTTTTATCCCGGAGTATTAATTATTGATGAACCTGTGACCCTAGGCTTTTTTTATTATTGATTTTTCCTTAGATTAATTCATTTAAACCTTATTTGTTTCATGATAATTTAGATTATATTAATTGATTAGGAATAGAAAAACGTTGTTTCCTGTGGATACGACCCTATTTCCTCATCTATCTTAGTTAGTGGTTTTAGGAATTACTTTTGATTAGGTGATACGACTTTATCTTGTCACTTGCCTTCAAAATGCCAAAGTGAAATCATTGTAGAATGTCATGTGGACTTTTTATTAAATTATGACAAATAAATCATTGTAGAATGTTGACGTCTTATTAAAACGTGGACTTCTTATTAATTCTACGTATTTTCAGTAGTTTTCCTTACTAACTTATGCAAAATCATGAGTAGTTTGTTGGAATTTTTTTAGTTTTTTTTTGGTCTAAATGTCACCTAAGTTTATTTTTTTACCAAATTGTTGTCGGAGTAAGTTTTTTTACCAAATTATCGCAATGAGTCTTTTTTTATTTACCAAACTGGTCAATTGACCTAGTTTTTAGTTTTAATTTGTTATTACTCGGTGTATTTTTTCCACAAAATTTCGCTGAGTTGAAATTATTTTCGCTGAGTTGGAATCATTTTACCTAAATAAAATTAATTTTGCTAAATTAAAATTAATTTTACTTAATTTCTATTAAACTAAACTTATATTTAGAAAACTAAGCCTAATTGAAAAAATGAATGTAATATTATTTTTTTTTAAAAAACATAGTTACTATTAGGGTTGTTCATCGGTCCAAGACCAGACCGACCTGAACCAAACCGAGGACCGAAAATTTGAAATTTAAAAACTGAAGATCGGACCGATTAAGTTGGGATCGAACCAAAGCTGGACCGCTTTAAACCGATTTTAGAATTTTTTTTTAATAATTATATAGTAAACTCGAAAAAATAATGAAAAACAAAATTTTAACGTTTTTTTTTTAAATATATTTAGTACAAAAAAGCTCGTACAATTAAAGTTTTCTAAGCTTATTAAGAATAATTTTAAACATTATTTAAGGTTTCATGCATAATTTTAAGCAAATTCATTTTTTTTTTCTATTTTTTAAGAAATCTATTTTTTTTTTTAGGAAAACAAAAACCTTTTCAAGAAATCTTTTAAGGTTAATGGTTTATTAAGAAAACAAAAGGTTTCATGCATAAACACCGATTTTTATAGGGTTTTGTAACAGACTGAAAACCGGAATAATAGATTTCTTGACGCGGAAATCAGACCAGTTAACAGTTACTAGTACTCCGTAATATTTTCTTTCTCGTCCAGTCGTCCCTACTCTTTCTTTAAATCCTTTCCACAGTAGTCCATACCTTCTCCTCCTTATTTTACTTTTAGGAAAACAAAAACCTTTTCAAGAAAAAGAATGGAGTTTGTAGGAGGAGAGAGAATAAGAACGGGGTTACCAAGCGGAGCATCATTGTTTTCAGATATGCTTCACTGAGTGCAACCTTCACTTTGCTCCGACAAGCCTTTTACCAGTTTGTTCCACCAGTTGTACGACAATACATTTATGACATTTTCAAACAATTGTTCACTCGTAAATCTCCTCCTTCTCCAGATTGTTGTGAACTCATAATTGAAGAAGAGGGTAATGGTTTTTAGTACTAACCAAGTCTTTCAAGCTTGCCAGATCTACCTTTGCAACAAACTTAATGACTCTGCCAGTGTACTTAAGGTACTTTTATGATTTTTTTTTTTTTTTAAAATTGCAACACTAGGCCGGGAAAAACGTTTTTTTTGGTAGGAGCGAAAATATGTGCTAACTCCATTTCAAATTATTTGTACGGGCAAGTAATTTGAATCAGAGGTAGTTGAATTAGAGGTAGTATATTGACTAAGAGAGTGTTGCAATAAACCTTAATGAAGGAAAAAATTGTTATAAACTTGTAATAGATCGGAGATAATTTGTATATTTGGGGTCCCTTTTAGGTGAGTAGAGTACCAAATGAGGAGACTATGAGCTTCAAGCTTGCTGAAAGGGTCAAATACTCTGAGAATTTTGAAGGAATACATCTGAAATGGGTATTTAGTTACATCGCTTCTTCTTCTAAGGCTCGTTCTTCGGTTGATGATCTTGATAAGCGATCAGGTAGTAATGAAAAATCCTGTTTCTCATTGAGATTTGACAAAGAGCATAAAAAGAAGATTTGTACTGTTTACTTACCATATGTTGTGGAGACATCAAAAGCTATTGTTCGTGAGGAGAAAGTCTTGAAACTATTTTATTGTAATAGAATACAATGTGGTCCTATGCCTGGCTCAAGTGTTAAGCAATCCGTTAATATGGTTCATCCCTTTAAGTTTGAGAACTTGGCTATGGATCCTGAGTCGAAGAAGGCGATAATGGATGATTTGGACAGATTGTGAGGAGAAAAGAGTTTTATGAGAGGGTTGGGAAGCCTTGGAAACGAGGCTACTTGCTTTATGGTCCTCTGGGTACTGGCAAGTCGAGTCTGATAGCTGCTATTGCTAACTATCTCAAATTTGACATCTATGATTTGCAACTGGGACAGATTCATGATTCTAGCTTGAGAAATTTGTTGCGCTATATTCCAAGTAAAACTATTATCATTGTTGAGGATATTGATTGCTCTGGAGGGCTCCCAAGAGGAAGATTATACCACCCTGGCTTCGATGACTCTTCGGAGAAGGCCAAGAATGATCATCAGGTTTGTGGTTTCCGTTTTCTCCTCTCTGATTTTGTTGATATGTTTGAGTTCTTGATGAAGATGCATTATACAATGATATATATGTTGCATGTTTAATTTCGATCTTATTCTATTCATAACCCTTGTGAAGTACGAAGTACTTAGCTTGTATAAATCATGGTCGTTTTGTTAGTACAGTTTCATCCATATGACAAAATTGGTTTTTTTAGCTTACATGACAGTAGACTTGTATGATCTCTTTAATGCTAACTTTCTGTATACCAACTTTTGCCATTCTTTAAGCAAGAAACTAGCATTAGCAACCTTTGATTCCTTTTACATTACTAGTGTTAGTGTAATCTACCACCTAATTTTGTACACTATTCTTTCTAACAGCTAACCCTACTACTGCTGTTTGTTATAGCAGATGTCGCTGGCTGCACTGCTCAACTTTGCTGATGGATTGTGGTCTTGTTGCGGAGATGAGAGGTTGATCATATTTACCACAAATCACAAGGAAAGGCTTGAACCAGCTTTGTTACGACCTGGTCGTATGGATATGCACATTCACATGTCGTACCTTACTATGGAGGGCTTCAAAATCTTAGCCTATAATTATCTCCTAGTTTCTGGTAACCATCCGCTGTTTGGAGAGATCAAAGGCCTTTTGGAAGCTGTAAATGCTACTCCTGCTGAAGTTGCCGAGGAACTTATGAGAAGTGAGGATGTTGATGCCTCTCTTCAAGGGGTCGTCGAGTTGCTAAAGAGGAAGAAAACCGAAGCAGAGGATGCTGCAAGTATGAGACCTCCGGCTGAAACAGAGGATTTCACAGAGAAAACGGAAAGTGGGAATGTCTTGCCTTCAAAATGCTAAAGTGAAATCACTGTAGAATGTGGACTTCTAATGGCTTCAAGCTTTAATTCTACGTAATTCGTATTTTACCAGCATATTCAGACTATCATTTGTATATTTGGTGGTAAAGAGATTTTCCGTAGTTTTTCTTACTAACTTATGCAAAAGACTCCCGACTTCAGTGAGCTTCTTGCTCTCTTGGGGACCAAGATGTTAATTAAAACTTAATTGAGTTAGAAGCATATTTTGTGAATCTATTGCCTATGTCTTGTACAGCAATCAGAGCGAAAATTAAAAACAAGCTATTATTTCTACTTTCAATTAACTATTAGATGAAAGCCCGTGCGATCACGATTTTTCATACATATATCACAAGAAAAGATATTTTCCTATATACTCTAAGTTTATTTTATTTATTTATTTAATTATTTGATTTATTTTACAATTTAATAATTTCAAACAAAAAAAAAAACAAAAACGAATAATAATTTAATTAAAATGATATTGCCAATTACAAAAGTATAATTTTTTTAATTTAATTTATAATGCGACTTAATTTATTGTTGTTTTGTATTTTATTCGTTGTTGTTAGTTATATGACAATAATATGATATCTTTCAAACAAAAAAATTGTAAATATGATATTTCAATGATTACATATTAGGATGAAAACTTTAATTTGAAAAGATAATAATTTTTTATTTTAAAATAATTTAAATCCTAAATCATTATTCGTTGTTTTTTACACTTGAAATTAAACTCTCAAATCTATATTTCTTGTGATCTCTTGATCTCTAACAAATTATCTGTCTTTTTAATTTTTTAGACATAAAATGTTTAAAGAGGTAAAGTTTTTTATTGTGTTATAAGTTATATATTTTTTTATGAAAAAAAATCTTATTAATCGGGTATTTAGATAAAATCATTAATTTCATAAGATAATTTTTTTTTTAATAATTTAGATCCTAATATCCCACGGTTTTTTATACATAAAATCTCATAAAAATAATTTTTGTAATTAGATCATACTCATAATATTTTTTATTACATTGCTATTGTTTGTTAAGGATAATTTTTTATTAATTTTATGTAATTTATTCCCCTAATAAATATTTTGATAAGAACATTAAAAATAATAGTTATTAGATGTAATATTTCGATGTAAAAAAGTTTGTATTAAAAAAAAAATCGATAGGATCACCAACTTTGTTCACACACATATCTCTTCTATCTAATAATAGTGGATAAATAAAACATTTAGCAAAAATAAAATTTATATAAAATTAATCTTTATAGTTTTATAAAATAAATTAAAATATTTACCAGAAAGTGAATAATTGTTGTGAAATTAATCTAAAAATTGTAATTAAACAAAATTAAATATATGCATTAGAATTTTTTCATCGTCCCCAATCGCCCAAACAATAGTATTTTGGAAAATTGAATCATTATTTTGTTGTCGCTGACAATGCGTGCGATATTGCTTCTTATTTGTAACGACTGAAAAGTATCTAATGGAGTAAATTTTTCCTTCAATCAATTTTGAACAAAATTGTAGAACAAAGTTGACTTTAATTGAGGCATGAACGTAATTACCCTATAATTAAAAATAAAAAAATTAAATTAATTTTATGACTTAATTAAGCTACCTAAATCACAAAAAATTTGTTTTAATCATAAATTAATTGATAAAAACTAAAAGGTTCATTAAAAGATTTAATAAATGTAAACAATTTATAAAGATATAATACCTACTCATCCAATAGGATCATCAGGCGAGAAACTCGTACTTTGATATTCTAAAGATTTTTGCTCGAATATAATTCTCTGATTAAATTAGATCTGCATGTAAAAACAAAATTCAGTAAACAAAACATAAACATATAATCATTAAGTATCCCAAATAAACACAATTTAAGCAATAATCACAAATATACATTTAAACATGGGTTTTAAAAATTAGTCTAAGAATTACCCAGCCATTGATGACCTAATAAAACTGATACAAAATTAATGACACAAAACTTGCTTGGTTTGGTTTTGTATTGATACTAAATTTTGTTGGTGTCATATGATGCGTCAATTTATAATGGTAAAAATCACAAATTTTAATTTAATTATAATTAAGGAATAATTTTTATTTCTTATCATAAACACTATCAAAATTTATCTTATAATAGTAGGTATATAAATCCATATCTAAAGATGAATATTTTAAAAGATAATTTTTAGTTTTTTAAATAAATTAAATCCTAATAAATCAATATTCGTTGTTTTTACTTACGTGGCAAAATTCTTAAATCTCATTCGTCACTTTTGTTTAGGTGGCAAACGAATTTTTTAATTCCAAAATAAAATAGAAATCTATTTTTAATTGGTTGAAAATATACCTTTGCTTATGTGGCGCTCCGAATGCTCTCTAAAAATGTCTACTTTATTTATATAATATATATAATAGATTATCACGGAGACACGGAGTATTAATGTAAATTGAGATATAAAAATGATTACCAACAAATCTTAAAACTATTTATGATTGAGCTAAAATATATGAAGTTGAAAATTGTGGCCTTATATATGAACCTTCTGCTTTACTCATTTATAAGCTTAACATTTCCTTTCTCTAAACTACATTCTCAGATTTCTCACTACTGTCAAAACATCACACTAAAATGTAAACCTAATTAAAGGTCCAGAGAGACCAGGTACAGCGGGCTGATGATATTGCTAGGATTTGCCGGATAAATTGTTCTAATCTGTTATAATTTTAGTTTTATGATTGTTCATTTGCTCTTGTCCAAAAAAAAAAAAAAAAAAAAAAAAAAAACATAACACTAAAATGTAAACCTAATGATTATTTGACTATCCTACATGGTATATACTCTGTATTATACTTCGTACTTATTCTCTAAATTTTCTAAGTATCTAACATTATAACTTTCTCATGCATTAGCATTGGACATTGGTTACCAACTTACCATGCATCGATGATTCTTTGATAGTTTGATCTTTGTGGAAGATGGACAACATTGTTAATGGTTATATATTCTTTATTTCCAAGATTAAACATCAAGCGTTTGTAGTCCAACGGTTAGGATAATTGCCTTCCAAGCAATAGACCCGGGTTCGACTCCCGGCAAACGCATTTTTTATGGACATCCCAAGTATTTTTGCTCTTCAAATTATTTACAGTGGAACACACTGATCAATGTGATCATTTAACATGTAACTACCAACCCCTAACTATTCACTATTGTTACTTGCATAGTTGCATTTATGAGGAAATTGACCCCATTCAACGTATCAATATGATATGCCTAAATCAAAACTACATACGTTAAATCTCACAAAAATGACTCAAATCCGAACTCGATTTGAAGTTCTGAACAATAAGTTTGGCATTTCTATTACTCCGTAATTCCATTTCAAGGTAGGTAAGATACAAATATGTAACGTGTTATGAAACATAGAATGATAAAAGTACAGACTATGGAGTATACAAAAAGCGTTTGTAGTCCAACGGTTAGGATAATTGCCTTCCAAGCAATAGACCCGGGTTCGACTCCCGGCAAACGCATCTCTCGTTTTTCTTTTCCTTTTTTTTTGATCTCACAAGTTGAATAACAGTACCTCGAGCAATTTCATCTGTTAAGCAGGGATATCATGGCCATGTTCATCAGGCTTGTGCAGGTTGTGAAGGATGTACAACGAAGCAGACGACAGGAAAATACAGACAGCATAAGTCAACAGATCCAAGCCGGTGGCTATTGTCACCATCTTGCTCTTTTCAAACATCTTTACAATGAGAATCATCACAATAACGTGTCCAACTTTCGTTTTCAGTTCATCAAGGGAGCTAATTTTCATCCACCGAGGTCTCTCCTGAAATTTAAATTGTAGAAAGCACGGTAACTTCAGCCATGCTTATGGATAGCAACGAAGAAAGATGCAAAAAAGTAAGAAGCAGCCCCATCTAATCAATCACATGAATAAATGATAAAGGAGTTTGAGAGAAATCAATTCATTTTGAGGCATATATACATGATTTAGATGTATTAAGCTGTACCCCCTTTGTGCAAGGGTTCAATTATCCTAGACTCGTGAGCCACACCTACTCATCTACTCATTTCGAGGCATACATATATGCTCTAGATGCATTGAGCTGTACTCCCCTTGTCCAAGAGTTCAATTTTCCAAGACTCGTGAGCCACACCTACTCATCTATTCATTTCGAGGCATACATATATTCTCTAGATGTATTAAGCTGTACTTCCCTTGTCCCAGAGTTTACATTTTAACATATGCTAGACTCGAGAGCCACACCTACTCATCTAATTTATTCCCCCCCCCCCCCTCTACTTTTTTAGCTCCCTCCATGATCTTCCTTCTATATAAGCTTAGCTTAGCTCTTGAACAAAGTAGTATGCATATCTTTCCTTGCATTAGTCCACCCCAGTTACATTTAAATTAAAGTTATTCGAAAAGAAAACAAAAGGAATAGGAAGTTGTCTATTTGCAATCACCTTCAGAGCGAACATTCCAAACAAAGAAGAGCCATTCAGAGCCCGATCAGCATCAGGAGGCAGATCGGAAGAGGAATTACTGATGAATAATCCGTATAAGCCCATAGCAAACACCAACATAACAGTTCCAGCTAGGTACACATCTGCATACCAAGAATGTCAAGAAATTAAGAATGATAGAATCTTAATCTATGATCTTAAGGCTGAAAATAAACTGCAGGACAATATACAGGAAAGGAGAGAAAAAAAAAAGTTCTTATTAATAAGAGCAGTAGTATACAGGGGGAAAAAAACTCTCACCAATAGCTTCAACCAATCGGAGAACCATATTTCCAGTGTGAACTCCTTTGAGACAGGATGACCAATAAACTTTATATGCTTCCCAAACATAAACACAACCCTGCAGAAATAATCAATTGTACACTATGTTTCATATTGCATTTCGTCGAATGAGTTCATCCACAATAAAGATTTTACATGATCCTACAAGTGCATATGAAAGGTATAAAGAAAATTACATTCATGAAACATAGGACTGAACCAGCTAGTGATCCTGCAATAGCAAGAAGTGCCAAGAATCGGAAATCGAATATAACCTGCACAAAAAAAAAAAAAAAAAGTCAAGGACATAACATATAGATCAAATGATGAACCAAGATGATATAACACTATCAGCACATAAACAATTTTCACCGTTACATTGCCAAAGTTGTCAAACTATGTTGCTAGTGTAGACAAAAGACTTAAACCCCTTAAACATGATTTGTATAGTGATTAAACAAGAGGAATTCGGGCGATAAGAGCTCGTAAACTCGAGGTTAAAGCTACTTAAGAACAATAAGATTAGTCCAATGATTAGCATAATCATAATTCATAAACTTCCTTTATAATCCAAATATCAAGTCTCACTTTCACTATCAAATTCACCACAATAACATTATTTTCAGCATCCCCAGATAATTTAACAATAAAAACAGAGAAATTAACATTAACCCAATACTTAATAAACCCTAATATGATCAAAAGATTTACCCTTTCAATAGTAGACTCAGCGGATTTAACAAATTTAACAAAAGGGTTTCCATTAGGGTTAACAATAGCAGAGTTACTAAAATTAGGGTTTTGTAAATTGGGGGAATTTCCGACAGTCGATTCACTAGGAGATGGAGGCGAAGCTGGAGAAGTTGAGCTCAACGAAACGATTCGAGAGCGAGATAAGTTACCGAAACGTTTCGTGATTTTAATTGGGTATTGCGTTTTTTTAATTATGGGTGTTGAGAAATTCGGATGTAAGGAAGTTGATGAAGTGATTACTGCAAAACCCATTTCAATTTTATTTATTTATTTTTTTTTGGATTTGGGGATGAATTTGAAGAAAATAGAAATATGAAGAAATATCAAATAGATATTAAATAAATATATGAATGATTGAAGAAGAAAAATATTTAAAAATTGCTAAAAATGGAAGATGTTGTGGGGTCTACCGAATAAGGAAGTTAGTGTTGGCGGGAAGTGTTGAGACGTACCGTTGGAGGAGATAAGTGTGCAATCTCAACAATGGCGGGTGAATTAATTGTAGCCAATTATTTATACTGACTATCTTATTTTTTATATTTTCTTAAAGGAAAATTGTAGCCAACCAATTATTATGCATGATTTACATATTTTACATACCACTATACCAGTTTTTTGATTTTGTTGATTTTTACAAGGTTCTGGCCGATCTTTGAGTACAAAAAAATGTTGTATTATTCACAACTCAATTTAAGTTGGCGAAATTTGGCTCTTTCGAATGAGTTATGTTGTAGGGATATGAAATTGATAGGTTGTTAACGGATTGGTTTTTCATCATTAATTCGCTACTTGAAATATTTCTGAATTTTTCTTTGGGGTTTGGGTATATAAATATATATAGTCGTTGAAAGTAAAGTAAATAAAAATGGAGTAACTCCTATAATATTAATAGAGTAACTCTTAAAAATCTAAAACCTTAGTAGAATAACTCCTATAACACTAATCGAATAACCCGCCCACATATAAAAGTTAGTGAAAGTCTATTCAAAGTTTTGATTTCATCTCAAGATAACTTTGTCGTTGAACTTATTCTCAACAAAAAAGGTTTTAAAATTCCGAAATTTCTCATGTCAAAATATACCGAATTTCTAGTGAAGATCAATCGAGACATATAGATTTAAACTTTCTCGCCATATGAAAAATTTGAAAGGAATAACCTACTCTTGAGAACACTAAATGCTTTTGTTAGATTTTACACTACATACACTATATGAAGTGACATGTTGACTTATGAGTTAATTTATCTTTTGATTTTATAAAATGAAAGATAAACAACAGTTAGGACAATCTTTATTTAAAACTCAAACCTAACTCATCAAAATTATTACAAAAATAAAAATTTGCTACAACAAAATGGGCCACTATCTTGATGTTTTTTTTTTTTCTTCAAATGGTTGTTATCTTGATAAGTTTGCATGAAATTACCTAAGAAAGTAACATAACTTGTTGCTTGATTGCATTCTCGATAAATATTTTAGGAATTTGACTTGTGATTTACGGGTACAAAGTACATATGTGTACATGACTTGCCTATAAATCTGCTAAGCAGTTTAGCGCGCTATACCTTGACTTTACATAGTCATACTTCTAATTTCATACAAATCATTACAAACTGTATTTCTTATTCCCTTCATATTTTTTGCTCTTCTCATTTGAAGAAAAAATAATCAAAATGTGAATAAAAATAATCGGAAGAGCAATACGAACTTCATATACAAGTAGTATTATTTTTTTCCAATAATTCAGAGCAAGAATTTCCAATTAACAATTTAACACCACTTGTCGCCGAAGTCGGCATCAATAGTTCCACAATCCCCACCCCAATTGAATAGAGATCACATATACGAGTCATGAAAGTCTACTGGGTAATTTCACACAGCAAATTTGTCATTTTTCTTTGCATCCTTACTTCCTTTCTTCCCTGAGAAATTCTGTGCTACGAAAAAAAAAAATGGCAGAAGTTGTATTATTCAACATTGCTCAGCAGCTGCTGAACAACATGAGCTGAACAGCCATTGAAGAAGCAGCAACAATTTGGGGCTACAAAACCCAGCTTGCCAAACTCAACAACACAATCAACGTCATCAAAGATATGCTCTTAGATGCAGAACAAAGACAACCCAACAGTCATGCTATTCAAGGTTGGCTTCAAAGGCTTCGTGTCGCGGTGTATGATGCAGATGACCTGTTCGACGAAATCACCAGCTTAACTACCCAAAAAGAGGCACGTCTCTTCTTCTCTAAAATCAATCAGCTTCATGTTGGTAGTATAATGGGTAGAAAAATTAATAAATATAAGGGAAATATTAGATGGTATTGCAAATGATGGTGGGAATTTTGGGTTCAGATTGCAAGTTAATGAGGATCGAGTAATGGGTAGGAGAAAACGTGAGCAGAGTTATTCTTTTGTACGTGAGGTCGTGAGGAGGATATTGTAGGAAGGGATAGTGATAAAGTTGCAATCTTGGAAATGTTGTTAATTGAATGATAATGTTGAAGAGTTTGTTTCAGTTATTCCTGTTGTGGGATCGGAGGACTTGGGTTCAGCTAGCAACATCTCACAATTCTTCAGGAATTGCTCTGATTCAGAGAATGGCATGCCGTGGATTAGCTGCCTCTCTTTGCTTCAATGGTTTAGCATGCATTAGAGAATGCTCTAAATTAATGGAGTTGCCACAAGAGTTCATAGTTTCATACTTCCTCTGTTCCACAGATATTACAACAAGGATGAAATTACGCATCCCAAAACACATTTTATATGTTAAATATCTATAATTATATAAGAGTAAAAATTATTAAAATATTGATATTATGAAAGTATTTTACGAGACGAATCTAACAAGATCCCACAGAACTATATTTTACTTTACGCATAAATCATAATATGTGGTCAAACAAGCGTGATTAAAGCTGTGCACCGTGCTGTGCCGGGCCACTGCCGACCGTGCCTAGCCACACGACGGGACGTGCCGGCCATTTCCACAAGTCGGCCCACGGCACGGCACGGCCCAAGTGCCTAGCGTGCCGTGTCGTGCCACCCCCTGTGCCGCCCATTTATTATTTTTTATTATTTTTTTTTAATATTTGCTTTATTATTTTGTTACAAAATATTAATTTTATTATAAAATTATTGTGCTTGGCGGGTCGTGCCGACGGGCCGGTGTTCGTGCCGCCCGCCGTGCTCGTGCCAAATTTCAATTTCCTTGTTCGCGGCACGGCTCACGGCCCACCGGCCGTTCCACGTGTCGTGTTGTGCCGCTGTCGTGCCCGTGCCGGGCCGGACCATCTGGCGTGTCGTGCCGGGCAGCCCGCGTGCCAGCCCGGCCCATGCCCAGCTTTGAACGTGATGAATAGTGTAAAACTCTAGTTGTTGCAATATTACTAGAACGAAAAAAGAATATCTTAGCAAGTTAAAGGAGCTTGAGATCAACTGCATGTTCATCTGCCCAAACACAACAAGGTTTCCTACATATAGTGGGTGAGTGGCACATCCAATTTTACAATGGAGGGAGTAAATCTCAAGACTTTATCTCATATTTAATTTGGGAAAATTCTCAATAGAGACAAAAATAAAAAAAAATAAAAATTGACGAGCATGTGAAAGAATTCACTATTTTAAAATAGAAGAGTCCAAGTATCTAGACATGATCAAATCAAGCACAGCCCCAAAAAAAACCCAGGTTTTAGCAGAGTTCTTTGGGCTCGAAATTCAAGCCTTATCCGATTTTCCAAAAATAAAAACAAGTTTGGGCAAGCCAAAATAACTATTTTTACTTAAAAATTTGACCCGACTTGATTTTTGATCCAAAATAGCGGATTTTGGCATGACTTTTCCGGCCCAAAGTTGGGTTGGCTCGAGATGGGTCGATTATTTTTGGAAAAGCCCGACCCATGACCACCTTTATAAGTACCCTACAATATTAAGGGTGAGTATTACACATTTACACTTATATACTAACTCTCACTATAGCTCTCAAAGAGTAATACAAAATGTATAGTGGATTTGGGAGATTGTGTGTGTGTAGAAACACTCAAAGGGTGTTTGAGAGGTTGAAACTTTGGAAGAATATTGGAGGATGATGCTCCCAAATGATGTCCATCATTATTGATACCAGATTAAATGTCCCTTATTTCCCAACAATTAATATTTATAGATATGATGTAGGTGGATACATGCTCCCAAAGGATGTCCATCATTATTGATACCAGATTAAATGTCCCTTATTTCCCAACAATTAATATTTATAGATTAGATAGGGAGGTAGAAGAAGTGTGTGAAAACTTCTACATGCATGCATGCTCCCGAAAATATTCACTTAATTTTGGAAGCCTTTTCAGAATTTTCCAATTGTTCTACTTTCTTCAATTTCTTAACATGATAAATTTTTCTAGAGGCCTTCAGACACCTTAAGACATTAATTAGTGGGACTTATGGAATTTGAGCCATACTAACCCAACAGTGAAAATGAGGGGCTAGCCGGCTAGGCCCCAAAGAATATGGTCGGGTCTTTTGGGTTGCACATTATTATGGAGCAAAACTTTGACAGGTGTTTTTTTTTCAGGCAATGAGTGTGAAAGACAAGGAGGCCTAAGTTTGGAAAGCGCCAGTACCCCAAAGAATACGAACCTTTCTTTGGTCATGCCTTCACGACTGAGTCCTTTAATTTGCAATGCTAACAAGCTCAAGAGACACTTGACCGATGATCTCTCACTTCACCGTTGCCAATCACACACTGATGAAATGCTTCTCCACTTGTTAAGAGACTGTCCTATAGTTAGGAAAGTCTGGAAGAATGTGGGAGGCTCAACTCTTTATCCAACCTTCTTCACTGGCGACTTTAATGCTTGGATGGTGCGCAAGATGTGGCCAACCGCGTTTGCTACCACCTTATGGTGGTTATGGAGATGGAGAAACAATGCTTTGTTTGGTAGTAGCGAAGCAATCCCTACTGATACTGGTTCCTTTTTACGAAGCAAAATCGATGAAACTTGGAGTGTTTTTTCAACCTAAGCCAACAGAATTTAGTAACTCGAGGCCAAAAAAGGGAAATCTTTATCAAATGGAATGCACCCCTTACAAACTAGTTTTCATTGAACACTGATGGAGCCGCAAAGGGGGCACAGCTGGAGGAGGGGGAATTTTGCGTGATTACACAGGCAAGTATATATGTGAGAAGCTTTGCAGCCAACTTTGGAGTATGCACAACCTACAAAGCCGAGCTCCTAGCTGCTGAAATGAGACTTTAAATGGCGAGTACTTTAGGAATTGAATTTCAAAGCTAGTGTTGCAAATGGACAACGAAGCTTGCATTGAAGCTATGAAGGACCCCGAGCACATTGGTGGTGAATGTGTTCACATTTTTTAAAAATTATCGTAGGTTATTTAGCTTTTTTGGTTGTAATTTTAAAGTTGTTTTCTGTTTTAGAGAGGGTAATAGGGTGGTGGTGGGCTTGCTAAC